CATTATTCTCATATAACACAAGCAAATATTACTTTATTCTACTTTTCGCATCTCCTAATCTCTACTTCTAATAAACTTTATTAACAGCAATAATTATGGCTTAATTTATTTAAAACATAATGCAATCAGAAATTACGTAAGCGATAATTTATCATCGCCAAACGAATTTTAATCTTATTGGGGGGAAATTAAATAAAACAAACATAAAGAGAGTAAAAGTGTGTAGATAATAAAAAAAAAATAATCAAGAAAGAGAGATATATTAGAGTGAAAATGAGAGGGAAGTAGGAATACTTAAATTGTATTGGTATTTACAAATATATGAAATCGACCGCGGATTGATTATCCGTCGCGCGCGCCAGACCTCCTCGCCGTCGTGTCTCAGCCGCGCTCATGGTTGCGCGTTCGCGTCGCATGTGCATGTGCGTGTGCGTGTGCGTGCGCGTGCATGATTTGGAGTTGTATTTGAAATTGTTTTTGTGTTTCGTCGGTTTGACACTGTGTGCGCGCGTATCTGTATTTGTGGACTATCTTGAGTTTCGTACTGTCTATATTAAGGTATAATTTTTGTTTACGATAAACAACACGAACTGCGGTGGCAGTGAACAGTACACGTGAATATTGCAACAGCAGCAGCAGCAGCAGCAGCAGCAGCAGCGGTATTTTTTCATAATATATCCCTTTGCGTTTTTAGGTTTCATTAATGCACGAAACGCACATATTATTCACTAAACTAGCTAGTATTTTCGGTTTTCATATTAGTTTTAATAATATTCGGCACTCCATTTGTTTTTTTTTATTTTACAAGTATGATCGTACTTGTAAGACGATCGATTTCGAATAACAATTTTGAACTATAAATATTTTTCTTGTTCTTATATTCATAAAATAGACAACTTATCTCGGACGATGGAGGGGCTAATACATAACTATAACCAAGTTCATGATTTCTGATTTATTCAATAATTCTATTTATAATTTATACGTTAGTCCGAATGATTTAAATGAAAAATCAATTTCATTCTTATAAGCTTACAAATCCTTTATACCAATTTAATCTCTTAATTGATCAAAGCCTTCGATATAAATAATTATTTATTTAGTAATAGTATTATTATTTTTAATTAATGAATATTTATATAATAGTATAATTTTTTAATAAACTACCTCATTTATAATGTATTCTTAATAAAAATATCTACGAAAATTATTCTTCTTGAAAACTAATTTATCACAAAATTAATATTATTCGTAAAATTTTTAAAATACCAAAATAATATAAATGTGTTATTTCGTAATGTTTATTAACTGTGAAATATAAGATTTTTTGTTGATTGGTTGCTCGACGAGGAATAATAACGAATAATGAAATAAGTAGCCAACCATGTTTAATAGAATGTACTTAAAAAAAATAATTTCTAAAAGAAAAAAACTAATATTTAAAATCTCAAGTATTTAATAACACTATTTTCTAATTACATATTACTCTATATATCATTCAGTGAAAATAATCTCGTATAATTTTAGTATATTTTCTATTGACCGATTATATACAAGTAATTTAATACCACATTTTCATAAAATCTTATTCTAAGGAATAATAATAAAAAAGCATTGTTTATAAAAGCTATTAGCGACTCGACTTCCCCTCCATTCGAAGTAAATAAATTGTCTAGATTTAACATTATCGAAGACAATCAATATTATTTTATATGCGCACATTTCGTGAATATCCGTGCCGGAATGTTTGTGTGCGTGTGTGTTTGTGTATGTGTCGCTTCGTCGCTGCAGTTGTCACGCGATTCTATGAACACAGACACTTTTATTTATCACGAAATTCATCATCATTATTTTATTTTAAGTCTTCAAAAGAATAAAAACATCAACTATCAGTTTTCGCATTTAATATATTAATTCTTTTGCAAAAAAAATTTTTAAATATCCAATATATCTAATAGAATTACTGCCCAAACAAAAATATTATTTTCAGAGAGAAAATAAATATAATGAAATAGAATTTCTATGGGTCATAAAAGAATCCAGTCTTTTTTGAAGAAAAGGTGCGGCTTTATATTACTAATAAATCTGTTTATGTAAATATAATTTTTTTTTGAATTTTTTTTTCTTTTTTTGTTTTGGCTACACTTTATTTTGTGTTTTATTTTAATATTTAATTTAATATTTAAAGATATACGCATAATAATTATCGTCGCATATTATAATGAACGTTCGTATATATACACACGTGAGCTTCACAAAAATATATAAAAGAGAGAGTATTTATGTATACATACATACATACACACATACACACACACATATATATATATATATATATATACGGCGTGCCTGCATATATAATAATATGTAACCGATGCTATATATGCAAAATCGTGTGGAAAAAAGTATTTTGCTTTATCATTAAATGTAATATTTTCTTATTCATAATAATAATTATAATTTTATTATTATTATCTATATATATATACGTATACATACATAACAATATGTATAGGCGTATATAGACCTGTACAAAGTACTTGATTGAGTGCCTTCATTTAGTCCTAAACAAGACACACGAGGTAAAGATTTTTCATTTTTCTTAATTTTTATCTTTTGCTTTTCATATTTTGTTTAATCGCTTTTACAGTCTCGAACAATTTTTCACGTTTAATATGTAATATCATGCGATAATAAAGTATCTCGTAGTCGTGTGAATGTTTCACGCTCTTATGTTATTTTATCTTTTCTATTTATATATCTTTAAATTTGTTAAAATCAAGTATCCTATCCTTTGATACTCTTTTATGGCGCACTTTACGTATGTGTTTGAGGTGTTTTTGATTTCAATTTGAAGCGAAATAATGGATTGTTGTTTTTTCTTCTTGAATTTTTAAGAAGTAAATGAGATAATTAAGTTAAATGGAGAAAGAATTTGAGGCTTATTGTTACCATGGTTTATTTGAACCATTTTTAAGTCAATTTTATTTTATTTAATTCGTCTTCTATTTCATTTAATTAAGTTCGAGAAACGCCATCGTCGCGCTATTATTTTGCATAAATCAATTCCACGGCATTATGTTTAAGTTTTATATATAAATGTATATACCATTATATATATTATATAATATATATAATTGTACCTGTGTATATGCACTTGTAATGATTGGAATGAAAGAAATTTCATACAGAATAGAAATTGAATATTTCACGAATAGAGATCAAAGCATTAATTTTCTTATTTTTCGTTTTAGCTTTCATTGAAATTTTTGCGCGACGTCGGGGGCGTTTCTCTTTAATTATCCTTTATACTTGATTTCTCAATATTTCTTCACAGTATTTTATTTTTCTATTTTCATTTCGCTTATATAATCCCTTCTTTATCCACGGCATATTTTATCACTTAATTTAACATCTCACGTACATTTTATTTTGTATTATCAAGAGATGTAATTTATAATATTTTAATATTTTTTATTTATATTATTAAATTGACCATCCACGTCTCGGAAAGCCCATGGAGCAGTCTTTAAGTTGTAATATTAAAAACCTGCATTGCTTTTTATTCCATTAAACAACGGTGTTTATAATCTGTTGCGCAGTTATGCATTTCGAAATATATCTTATAAAAAATGTATTAATTGATTTAAGTTAACACGAGCTTCATAATTACTCGATAAATAATCGCTTGACGTAAACAACATTCTTTTTCATCTAAGCAAGTACTTTTTATTTTCACATTACCGCATCAATTTATGCGCGATGCGACAGTATTTTAGAATCAAGTCTTAAGTACAATGGGCATATTTAGAAAAGAAAATTAGTTACAAATATGTAATAGTATCGTCGATTATGTCTCGATATAATCACATTTATATTATAATTCTTCTTCTTTCGTCTCTTCCTTTTCACGTCATAGAAATACTTATATTACTCAAGCTTTATAATTTTATCATGAAACAATTAAATTTCAATTCGACTCTTCTTAAATCCCTAGATTTAATGTAATAATAATAAGGATATTTTTAATATATTTAATGCTGCTATCATTATCTATCATTAAATTCACGATTTTCGCACACATTAAAACAAATTTTTAAATTATCATAAATAACATTATGATAAGAATTAAACCGTTGCTCTAAAATTTAAAAGAACTTTGAGAACAATAATATATCCACTTCAAAAAATAAAGAAATTGATAGAAGTATATATATCGCTTTTATATATTACTTTACGTATAAGCTCCCACAATTTTCCGAGACGTAGGTGTATATTTTCTACTAAATTTTCTCTCTTCTCCTACTTATGACTTTTTTATATCCAGTCAATTTTATCAAATCATGCTAATATTATATTAAATCATTTGTATGTGTAGCAGCCCCTGAACCGTAGCAAATCGTGTTATGTCCAAATTCTTTCATACGCTTTTTTCTTTCGCTTACATCGTCGATGTGATCAACAACTTCCCTCATTATATTTACACTTTCTCATCGAGAATCTTTATATTTTAGTTTAAATTCGTTTCGTACGTATTCGTATATATTGTCCGTCTTTTCGATTTTCTTCTCTCTAATCTTTTACCGTCTCTCTCTCTCTCTCTCTCTCTCTCTCTCTCTCTCTCTCTCTCTGTCTCTGTCTCTCTCTTCTTTTTTTGTATTTTAACTTATATTCATAGAGCACATGTAATTGTACATCTTCTGTTTTTATTACTTAATCTTTGGAGACAATTCAGTTTTTAAATTATATAATGTATTCTTAGAGGTATTTATTGATTGCGACGCGTACAAGAAGAGAGAGAAAATATAGTATATAATGTAAGATTTCAGAAATCAATGAGACAAAATGAAAATAAAGTATTCCATAAAAATTGAAAAATCGAATAGAGAACGAGAGAGAGAGAGAGAGAGAGAGAGAGAGAGAGAGAGAGTGAGAGAAAATGGGTGAGTGAGTGGGACGGGTGCGGAGCGTCGCGGAGTAATTGGAGGACGGGTGGGAGAAGGATGGCGGTTGCCAGAAGACGGAGAGTCCGTCAAGCTAAAATGTTTTATCTATTTGGTATATAAACATACACATACAGCTGTATATAAATTTGAAATTCTTAGTCAAACTTTGTCAAACATAGCTTGAACCATATAGTTATTGATGGTCTTCGAAAAGCGGACACTTGAGGGAAAAACAATTACGAAATGCGTACATGCGAAAGCCGGGTTCTTGCAACTTTGATCGGTTGGCTTTCCCACTATTGCATGGCTATAGGAAGTTGCTGGAAGATGCGAGGAAAGACGTCGAACGATGCTGAATGATGCTCGAATAACGCTTAGAAAGATGCTTAGAAAGCACGACTTGGTCATCCAATGTTGGCCTAACCGATTACGAAGATTAGTCGGTTAGCTTAGATGTACGAGTACGGTCCGTCGGTCAGGGCGCTACACAGCAACAGTCAGGAGGCGTCGTCTTTCCCTCGGGTGCCACGGCTTGGCTTATATTCGAGGCCAGGATCGAACTGCATCAGTACAAAAACCTGTGGGCGGTAATAGATATGTGTTTGATTAATGTTTCATCGAAGGGGGAGGGGGCCGAAAAGAATTTAGAGGAATTGTAAATCGCGGGTCTTTATTAAAACGTACAATTGTAGTGTTCCTAGTTCTTGATTTTTTATATTAGTAAAGAGACAGAAGAAGTATGGACAATTGCTTTGTCGGAATAAGATATTAATAGGAATAAGATCAGTGAGATGTTGATGAAAGAAAAAAAATTCCAATTTTTTTTTTTTTTTTGTTATAATTATGGAGACGGTGACTCACCTGATCGGTTGGCAAAAGCGTGAAGTCATCGGGAGGATTCGTAATAACGTATCGCTTGGAAGAAGCGTCACATGACGAGCTGGTGTCGCGAAATCTAAAATATTAGTTGACAAAATATTAAATCCTTGCCTTGTCACATTAACCAGGGCTTTACATATACACGCATACACAAATATTTTATTATTTTCTTTTCTTTATCTGTTTTTCAGTTATTAGTATATGAAAGTGTCAAAGCCGCAACTAAACAAATATTTAGCTAACTAAATTCTATGCATAAGCGAAATAATGCTAATATTGTGGCAAAATATAGAGGTTAGTAATAGAATAATAGAGAGTAGTTGATAGACAAAAGACAGAGAGACAAAGACAAAAAAGTTAAAAAATGATATTTTTTGGATGGAGAAACTTACTGCGCGTGGTTCACAAATTCTATCATCGCATTATTTGTCAAAAAATTCTTTTTTTTTGCTCGTATCGTGATGCAAAATGCAAAATGCAAAATGAGTGCGGCAAAAACCAAAAAATCAAAGAGCAATTATTGCGATGTAAAAGGAACGGTAATGTGCCGACATTACATTATAATATAATATCATAATAAAAATTATTATTACAATTGTTAAAGTGCCAATAATAATAATAATAATAATAATAATAATAATAATAATAACAACAACGATAATAGTAATAATAATAATAACAACGATAATAATAATAATAATAATAATAATAATAATAATAATAATAATAATAATAATAATAATAATAATAATAATAATAATAATAATGAAAATTAAAATCGATAATAATTGATGGGAATCGGCAAGAATGAGAATAATAAAGATAGGCGGCCGCAGGGCCGTATTTTAACGTTGGGCTAATCCAATAAATACCATCGAAGGAAAGAAAGTCCGATACCTGTACCTGTACAGACCAATGCACAGCATTCCATACGACTTTAATGCCGCGACAAAGAGGTCTCCGTACGAGCCTCCTTCGCCGTATTGAGCCAATGGCCCATCATACAACGAGATTTGACCCACCCTGCACCTATCGCGATTTGCTAAACTGTCCGCGGTACTGCAAGTAGATTAATAATTATCATATTGGACGGCCTTCGCTGCCATATCACTCCCTCCCGCCCATCCACGTCACTCGGCTCGACAGTACAATTGCCAATGAGAATCGTGGGTCGAGTAACGAGCCACGCGAGTCCGAGTTAGCGGGAGAGGTGTGATGTTGGTAGAAGCCGTATTGTTGAAATATCGATTGATGGACGTACCTGTAACCACCCCTTAATCCTGCGCCTTCGGCTAAGATTAATTCGAGCTCGGGTGTCGCACCGCCAGTGATTAGGGATCTTATCAATGTTAATGCGTTTTGATTGAAATAAGTCTGCAAGAAGAAGGGGCGTGACATTTATTATTGGCAAAGGGCTCATCCAGTGGATGAGTGACGGCACATTGTTTGGAATATCAGAGGTGAAGGAAACAAACCGTCGACATTAGAGAATCCAGCACGCTAACGGCAAAGGCAGTGCCGCAAGCGAACGGCTGAGTGAGATAGAGCTCTGTGTCTGGGTCATCGTCGTCGTCTTGGTCGAGAAACTGTACGTTACTATCATTGACAAGTTCTAGAAAATAATTTGAATATTATAATCGGTTGATTGTGTACTTGGAGAAATCATGAATTGTCGTAAAGGCTCGTTAGCGTGACTCAATGCGGTGGTTATATGCGTAGAAAATTGCCTACAATATTATACATTTGTTGTCATAATTATAATAATCTTGCGATATAATAAGGAAAGAAAATATTCTGAAAAGTTTCCTAAAGCTGCTTTGTGATAGTGGCACAATGTTTAGATGCAATTGCATCACATACCTGTTATCATTGGTACATTTGCACCATAAACGGATCCTCTTCGCTGAAGAACAATAGGACTTCCAACTAAAAGCACAAAAGTTTATATTTTAGTTTTTTTTTTCTTTTTTCTTTTTTTATTAAAGCATAAAGAAATGTTGCCGCGACTTTTTTATGGAAATATTATTAGAACAATTAGTTTATTGCAATATGGTTTTAGTATATTGCATTAAATGCTGTACTCTACTAGAGCGTGTACAAGTAACATGTCGAATCGATAATGTAGCATTGTTATTCATATTTAAGCATACGATTATTGTCAAAAATTTACTTAATCTTTGTGTTAGTAAAAAATTAAGAAAATTTATGAGTTTTTTATTGTTTACCAAGACTAAGCAACGACAAACCTTGACTTAAAACACCTATCGTGTCATCGAATGTCATTGCCTTGATGTTGAGGGACGCTAAGATAGCTTCCTTGTCGGCGAGGGTGGGATCATCGTTGCTAGGCACTTTTGCCGACAGGATGCAACACATATCACACAGATTTACATTAACTGCGCGTAAATCTGCTCTACTTAGTGGCGAGCCCTGTGTATTTCAATAAATTACAAATCTTACAACTCTAAAATTTTCAAATTTTACAGCTTTTCATCAAGATATTAATATATAAGTAGCCGCTAGCTTCGTAGGGGAAATTCAAGAAAGTCTTAATTACGTTCGATAAATACATATCGCGGCGGTAATAAAAACGATCAACGAACTTGCAGAACGAGGCGGTGTGGTAGAATTTTGATAAGCAACTTACGTTTAAGACCGATATCTTGGGTAAGTTTTGAAGCATCTTCCATTCACGTCTAATATAGTCCACGGAGCCAACTATTACTACGTGCTTAAGCTCATGGTAATGAAAATTGGATGCTCTTAACGGCATGACCAAGTTTCTCAGCCCGATAAGAGGAGAGTCGGGATCGGCGAAGAGACAAACGACTACGTGGCCGTTGAGTACCGTCATGGCCGCCTGATTACGGTCAAGTATACAGTCTTCGAGACTGCGGGCTGGACTCCAGTGGAACATACCAGTCGAGTCGTACTTCATCTCCGTTTTCTCGAAGTCGAAATCCTTGGCTTGATCGTCCGCGATGCCGATCTGGAGGCCGCCATTATTGTTGACGTTGGAGCCGCCTGATGCACGACTGGTGGGCCTAGATTTGTCCCGACGGGAAGCAAAGACAAGGAGACACGAGTGTCTCGCGTTAACAGTTGTGTTCACCAAAATTTATGGCATTATATTTAGAGAAATGATTTCATTATACTTTTGTAGAGAAGTACTTAATTCTTAATTAATGAGAATCTATTAATGAGAATGCAGCTTATGCCTATGCTAAACTATATTTCTTATGTAGTCTACGTAGACAGTTAATTACACAAACTGTTAATTATGCGTAGGACTGCGTTTCATTGCATCAAATCAAATTTCATTACTGAATTACGTAATTATCTGCTGTCTAATACGATGCGTAGTCAACGATATGTTATATCGAATAAATGTTCAAGATGCGCATTCGCTAGTTCGAAAAAATATTTATGGTATATATTTATAAATAATAATACTTGAATGACCGATAATAGTGTAAGTTGAAATTTGTAGTTTAAATACGAAATGCATTTTTTTTCTTTTTTTTTCTCAACTTATAAATTCAACTAACATTAGAGTTAAAATTGATTACCAAAAATTGGATAGAAATTCGAAAAAGTTTTAATGACTCGATACTATTACTAATGACAATAATAAAAGGCTAATTTTTTTAATACAGTACTCTCTTTACGCATATATAAACTTTAGTTTCTGTTTTCTAAGCAATAATTACCTTTTAATCATTTTCGTAATCTTAATATAATAATATGTCATACAATATAATTGATATTTCTCTGATAATTATTATCAAAAGCATTATATTGTACACTAAAAGCAAAAGCGACTATTTTAGTGAAAATAATGCTAAATTAATTAAAAAATTATAGATTAAAGACAAATTATCTAAAGTCTTGTATAAAAGTTTAATAGTACTATATAAGTGTAATAAAAATAATAGCTTAAACATATAATTACTATGTTCACGGTAAATGAAATTAGAGTATATTCATTTTTCAATTTAAATTTCTACTAAAAAGATTTTAATTTCTTAAATAAATTCATAACTTTATGTCTGCAACCAACACATCAACTCTAAACTAATTAACAATATTAATTTATCTTAATTATAATGACGTTTTTTTTTTATAGCGATAATCTTACTTCCATATCTTTTATCTATAATTTCTAATATTTCAATATAAATTTATATCAAATCCAACCATCATACGTTCACTAGAATTTGCATTCTTAGTAAATATTAGTGATTCCGTTCGAATCCATATTAGTATGTTGCAATGTGCACACAGACTCGTTTGGTTAGCATAACAATAGTGCGTAAATTACTTTCTCTGCTAAATTCAACGAACATGCAAGCTTTCAATTATAAAATTATAAGTAAATTTATAAATTAAAAGACGGTTTTACAGTGGCGTTATAAGCGTACATGAGTTTTTTCACTTCGTAGGCGAGATGGTAGCCAGCATATGCGGACTCCTCTTGTGGCGATCTGGAAAATTAGAAAAGAAGCATACGTTGTTCGAACCCTTCTTCAATATTTTTTTATTTTCATTTATGATTGTGATATTTATTCGTTTTTCTTTTATAAATGAACAAAGTTTCTCTTGATGAATGAGTGATACTTCATTCCCGATAATTTTACATCTATTATAGATTTCGAAATTTCATAGAATTCATTAGCAATCAGTATTGCAGCTATCCAATGCCAGAAGAATATTATTTTCAATCTTGTAATAATTGTATGACAAGTATAGAAGATTAGAATCTCAAATACAACAGAGTAATATAAAATACATTGAATTCGTATACTTTTCAATAAATGCTTATTGAATGTCCAGAGCTTATTAAAGTTGGAGCCCATTAATTTTTATTTTGTTTTAGAATGATTTACATGCGAAACATTTAATACGAAATGTAAGTTAATTTTAAACAATACATAAGATTAATGAACAATTAGACGTATTAATTCTTCTGTAATCACGTAATATAAATGATGGTATATGAAACGACGTAAACAATTTCCGGTCGCTCATACGATTGGACTAAGTTCGTTCTTTTTCTCAAGATAATTTCTCAATTATCCCTATCTGTAACCTTTCTCTAACAATGCAAAAAATATACAAAAATCAAAAAAAAAAAGGAGAAACAATCGCGTGACGAATGCTGTGAGTAAACAATGGGAATCATGCGTGATGATTGGAGGTAACGAGTTAGCGGAATAACTCAACTTAGAAGCATGCAAATTTAGATAATTGTGGTAATAAAAGTTTTACATTTTTGAAAAAATAATTTATCACAATGATAGAGTTTACCGAAACATATCGGTATTTCATATTAATTAGCAAAATTAATAGAACATTGAATATATATTAAACAATTAAAAGATTTACTATGATTGGCTGAAAAAGTATTAATAATCCTTGTCACAGTTAATTTATCACATGGATAATCGTTAAAATAGTAATTCGTCTTTCATAGAATTTTTTTTATACATCATATGTTATCCTTACTCGCGGTGTCAATCAGGTAATTTCTTAAAGATATTTTATTATAAATTTTTTATTATAAATTTGTCGTATTTTAGGAGATATTTTAAATATTTGCCTCCCTCTACTGAAATACTTGCATGTTTGGTCATTCCGCTAATTTTATATACCTCTTATATTTATATACGTGATAATAAGATATACGAAATAAAAAAAAAATAAAACAATAAGTTCAATTGAATTAAATGAAATCTGGTGAAATAAACGATTTTCGGTGAATATTTGGTGGATGTGATAATGAGACACTTTTATGCATTTGACGTGTGTATGCTCATTTATATATTTCTTTTATTCTCTCTCTCATTCATTCACTCTCTCTCTCTCTCTCTCTCTCTCTCTCTCTCTCTCTCTTAGTGAAACAGTTCTAAAATCAAATACAATATCAAGAAAGAAGAAATAAGATGCAAAGAGAAAGATAGATAGAAAAAGAGAGTAAAAACGAATAGACAAAGACAGAGGGAGATGAGAGAACGAGAGAGAAAGAGATAATATGAGAGAGAGAGACAGAGAGAGAGAGAGAGAGAGAGAGAGAGAGAGAAAGAGAGTGAGAGAGTAACAACGATATTTGATTGACATCGTGTGCAACTCATGTACCTTTGATTGAATGCCTGATTTGGGCTCGACAAGCCATCGCTGGCGGTCCTATTTACATTCGGTTTCACCTTGTTGACCTGCTTAGTCGAATTTATCATTGTCATTCCTACAGAATTTCTATGGTTACTCATTGCTGTAATACAAAGAATAAATTGTTTCAATATCATGCCCAATTTCTAAGTGATTTTTTCAGAATCATGCAATTGAATTACATGCACGACCGTTTTATTTTCATTCATAAATTTAATATTTCTAAATGAGTACAATATTGTTCTGCCTTCCTATTTCGTCTATAGGGCAAAAATAATTTTAAATAATATTATTGCTATTGAGAATTTCACTTTACATTATTACTTAAAATTATTTTTTAACATTGATAAATATAAATATTATATATGAGAAAAAAATTTTCTAAAACAATTTTTAATGTAAAAGAAAATTCTTAAATATAATTTAGTTTTAAATTATTTATATTAAGAAAATTAGATATTTTTATAATTATTATGTAGAAAGAGGCGAGTAACACTCAAATATTTTTAAGTTGCTTAATAGTTTTAATTGCTTAAAAACATCTATAATTTGTATGATATGAATTGAGATTCATTCAAGGTAAATAAAATTTGAATATATCATCAATAATATTAATCAATAAAGTATATATTGATTTCTAAATATTCAGATTTAATATTTAGTAAATAATATTCAGTCTTATAAATTACATGAGCGACTCATACTCACCACTCGGATCATCACGATCACGACTAATTTCACCTAAAATATAAATATTATCATTAATAAGAGCTTTCATAAAATAGAACATATATAGCCTACGAAATAATACAACATTCAATAATATAAATAATGTAGAAAAAATTCACAATTCGACATTGATAATAGATATTACATATAGTTAAACTTCCCCCGTACTGCGCATTGCTTCATGGATATGTGTATTTATGTTGCATAAATCAACCTATCTCTATCATTTTATGTTTATCGAAATATTTTGAATACATTATTTACAGTTAAATGTTACTAATTTTAAAATGAAACATCTTACCTCGATTTAATAGAAAATTTAATTTAATTAAATTAAAAAATTTAATTTAAAAAAAGGAAAAAAAATTGTTACTAAATAAACGATACTGTGTTTTTTTTTAAATATTTAATTACTATTTTCATTTTAGTTTTCCATATTTTCAGCCATGTAGAATTTAGATAGGTGGAAGAAATATTTATTCTACTTATGATATTTAAGAAACAAAAAATTTATTGCTTATATATTGTTCTACAAAAAAAAAATTATATATATATATATGTAATTAGTAATATTAATTAGTAATGTTAATAGCAATATTAATTAGTAATGTTAAGTAGTGATATTAGATATTTCATCAAATTTTTATGGACAGGATAATATTTATAAACCTTCAAATAAAATGAATTACATAAAAGTATCTGAATGAACAAAAAAAATTAATATTAATTTTCCTCATAGTTTTTCAGATCAACAATTCCTTAATAGAAAATGATTATAAATTCTTTTACAATAAATATATATTTGCGTATATAGATACGTGATATAATTAAATTGTTTGTATAGCATAAAATTATTAGTTTATAAACTTCGGAGCATGCGACAGTACTGGAGAAAATTATTTCTCTGTCAGTCTCTAAAAATATAATATTTTATTGTGCGAAATAATGTTTTTGGTACCATACTTACTAATTGGTTCATGAATTTAATTTTAAAAAACATTTAACTACACATTTAAAATGAATCCTATTTTTGTATGTTATTACTAAATAAAAATTAGTGACTAATTCTACAAACGATTCTAAAAGCTTAAACTAGATTAAGCTAAACCTAACGATTCATTATAAAACTGAAAGATCATATAGTTTATTGAATAATGGACAAATAGTTTTTTTGGTTATAGATTGAATAAGAATAATTATAATAATATAAACGTGTGATGGCAAAAATGTGAAAAATATGATTGCAGGTATGTATTTTATGTTAATATAAGTGTAAAAAAATATTAATGTAAAATGCCCACTGTATATAAATTTGAAATTTTAATTAATACGAACACTTTCGAATGATAATTTCTAATTCAATAAGAATTTATAATGATAATTTTATTTTTTCATGTATTTTTTTTTTAATTTTTGAAAACTGATAAGTTACAATACATTTAAAGTAACCCATTTCAAATTAAACCATAGACAATTAAAAGAATTATTAAATTAATTTTCGTTGATATTTCAAACGATACTTTATTTTTAAATAAGTTTTCACTTTTTTATTATTAACGAAGGACTTACAAACATCTTTAATTATGATTTAAGAATTCGGTAATAACGAACATACCCATTATCGGGATCATTAATTACAGTAAAATAGAAATAAATGCTTAATAAGGCTCTAGAAAAATAAACAATAAAAAATAAAGGTAAAAGAAATTGTACTATGATTTGACAGAGGTGTAACTGTACCTCTCACGTGAACCATCTTGGGCAGTTCTGGCGGAGTGAAAGTGGGGGGAGGATGGTGATCGTCTGTAACAAATTACTACACATGTTAGCTACACTAACTAAGAACCTATTGCCTAAATTTTACTACATGAATTATTTGCTAGAATTTTATCTAAGTTCATACTAATGCATTACACGAATATAACTAAAACTCTTCTGGACAAAGTTTTTTAAACATGTGCTCGTTAATTTTGTTTTCGATCGTTTTGTATTGAATCAATTCTAGAAAATTTGATTACTATATGATTAATTTTCTTGTAGGAAGAAAAATTGCTTATCCAAGAGAGTTATTTATTAACTAAATAGCATTTTAACTGACTCATAATATGAATAATAAATGTTCAAATTTTGTAAAAGAGAAAGCTTTATGTTTTTACAATATCCATTATTAATTTTTGTGATAAAATTACAAGATTTTTTGGCGTCTATTAAAGAATTTAAATAATTTTTAGAAACATCAAGCTATTCTCTTAATACATTATATACTATATGCGAGTACTCTTTCGTAACCATGCAACATGCGCATATTGAATTGACGAATGATAAATTGATAAATATACTATTTTACTTGAAAATATACAAATGAAATTTTTCTTCTAACGTATAAATATTTCTAAAGTAAAAAGTAAAAACAAAAGTATTGTGTAACATGCAATAACATTTGAAATTTTACATGTTTAATTCAAAATGTCTCTCATTAAATGTATGGTACCTCGATAATAATACTAAATTATCTCATTAGCAACTATAATAATATTCAAAGAGTGTGTTGGCAATAGACGTGAGATGTTTTCTATAAAAAGGCAGTATAATAATATTCCATGAGCGTACCATTACTTCATGTTATTTGCATTCGACAAATGAACTATAATATTAGATTCAAGTATAATACTACAAGCACTAATAAAAATAATAATAAAGAGACTAATGTTAATTCTACAATAATAGCAATAGTAATATCATGCACGCAAAATTGTGCAAAAGCATTTTTAAGTAATGTTGCATAGTAATTATACTTTTTTTATTTTCTGAAAAAGAAAAGAGATTATAGTGCAAAATAGTTTAGAATAGAAGTGGAAAAAGTAGGCAAGTTTAAATGAAGACAGAGAGAAATGATGAAAACTTGCGTATTTAGTATACACATAATTTTTTATATATAAGTAATGGGTCCATTCTTGATCGTCAGCCTGATGAGAGATTGCACCATTCGAATGCATCCAAAAAAAAAAAAAAAAAAAAAACAGGATGCGTAATATAAAATAAGATAATAGTGGTCATTTCATTATTTTTAATCATAGAGTCTTATTTAGTATTATATCACTTGTGAATTTGTTAAAGTCGGCCGAAGTATACAAGTGGTTGTTCGTAGCTTACGCATTTTTCTAAAAGGCTTTTCCTATTATATAATATATTATATAAATATATTAAAAATATATTAGAAAGTAATAATAACGAAACGATATATAATTATCTTATTATTGTGGCATTTTAAGGAAAAAGCCAATTAAATTAAATACACGATGATGAAAAAAGTAAGCTTTCAGATTCAGAAAATATCTATCATCAACATAAATCAACATATTTGATGTTGTAACTTAAATTTCAATTATTCTAACGAGAATAAAAGTAAAATATGTAGAATACATATATTAAATAAAATGAATAATAAAAAATAAAAAATAAAGTAATAAAAGCAATAATAATAAATATTATACCGATGAATATTGATTTAAATACTAAAAAGCCGTCGAGCCACTTGTTGTAAATAAGCATGACAATGTAACTAAAAAAGAAATAATATAAGAAATAAAGAAATAATAATTGCACGAAATACTTGTGTTAAGCCACTAAATGTCCTTTATGAAGTTGCAAAATAAGCGCTTTATAATGATGTACTCGCTGTGTAACAGCGTAGAAAAATACACAAACGTCATATACATGAGAAAATACAAATAGCTTTGCACTGATAAAGTTACGACGATTACACGAATATACTTTTGTGATCCTATAACCTACCATTATAGCGACAATATGCATATGCGAGGCATCGAGAATTGTACATCACATCTCTCGTACTAACTTAGTACAATACATACACATACACAAATACATACACGCATGCATAAATATATATATATATATTTATACATATGTGTACAAGTGTGCGCACGTGTGCGTGTACGTGTGCGTGTATGTGTATTTATACGCGAAGGCTGCTTAGATAACGTAATTAATCTACCGTGTTTCGATATTACACAGCGCGTCAATTATTATTACAAATGACATAAACATGTAAAATATCTTTTACATTTACAAGTGCAAGAATATTATTATTATATAAATAAATATCTATATATATTAGTATATATAATATTATTTATCCTCCACAATCTACTTGCGAACTTACTTGCATACGAGAAGTCGTCACCTGTGTGTGAAGGACAGTTGAAAACACAAGGAGAGCGAATAGAGAAGAGTGAAAGAGACACACAAACATATAGAGAATTAGTTTTTGTAAATTGTTTCACATTTTTGACGACCGTATGTATATGTATGAATATTTTCATATGTATACATGAGTATACGTGTGTAAGCATGTGTACTAATATGGAAGATTGGACGTAATAATGTAGGACAAACTTCGCATTAATTAACGAAGCTCAAATAAGACATGTGTATTTCTAAATGTGCATACTTATATGCATGTACAAACGACATGTAATGTATAAATAAATTTTTAATAGATTATCATGTATGTACACAATGAATATTCATTCAATGAAATATTACTCTTTTGTTCGTTGTTATATATCAATCTATTATCACCCGAAAATATTTAGTATCTGACTATGTTCTACGTTTTAAAACTTACTTAAGTGTATTTGAAAAAATCTTCCATTAAACAAATTTTTCATATTTTACATATCTATAATCATAAATATTTTTTGTAATATAAAAATATTAAAATTAAAAAAATATATCATATTGTCTAATAAAAGGTATAGTGAATATAATACATAATTATATTCTATTATATTATATTATAATAATATTATAATTATTATATATGTATATAAATATCATATAATATTAATCAAAATAATTTATAAGTTCTAATCGCGAGTGAAAAAATCTTTAAGCACGTAATTACATTGTTTAGGTTATCTAAAACATATATACAAGATTTAGACATCCGATTATTTATAAAATTATAGTCAAATAATTACCAATCATAAATTCAATTTCTTATTCTTACTGAAACTAATATTAAAACATATTTTAGTACTCAAGACCATGTATTATTTTATGACCGTATATTAATTTTATTGTTAAATAATATTTCCATCAAAAACATTTTATTTTGAATAAAATATTTATAATTGAATAATGGTAGAAACGATTAATGTTACGTGTGCTTATCATTGCTATGAATTTATTACACTATTATTTTATATAAGAATATTCTGTTTTTCTTTCTTTCTTTTTGTTCTATTTCAAATAAGTACTATATTGGAAATAATTAGATTACAGTATAATATAAAAAAGCACTAGGTTCTATAAATAATATGGGATAACATATATAACATTTAATATTATTCCTTCAGTTGGAATTAAAATGTATAGAGAACATTGAGAAACTCGACTCATTTTTACACTATAGGTATTAAAAATATTCTGTAGTATATTAATCTTATATTAAATATTTTTAAACTATTTTTTTTTTAATATCATAATTAATACAATTTACAAAAAAATTACAAATAAAGACTAATTCTAAATAAAATTATACACGTATTTTATGCAAATGCGTTATATACATATATATATATATATATATATATATATATATTATATATATATATATTATATATACGCATAAAAATACTAAATAATAGTTATTTATTTATAAACATATTTTTTAGTAATAATAAATAAATACACAGCAAATCAAATTTCTCAATTAACAGAACATGTATATACGTATAAAAACTTTATTCATTTATAACATCTCAAAAATTATGAACTATATAGTATTTAACTTCTGATTTATCAACAATGACCATAGAAAACATTGAAAACATTTTTTATATTTAAAAACTACATTTTTTTTACGACATTAATATATAGGTATACAGAATAAAGAAATATATAAATTGTAGGTTGCAGATAACCAAAACACCACACCAATAAAAAGATTAAAACACTAATGTATTTAGAATTCTACTTTGGATTTAAATTATGATTATGATTTGGGATATTTGCTGTATTAGTGCAAACAAAATTTATTTGTAAACGATATTATTTACAGATATTAAGATTTGTATTTTAAATATTAATCGAATTAATTTAATAAATTTAATATAATAGGCTTCCATTTGATAAAGTATCTATATTTGCACTGATACAATAAAGACTTCATGATAAGTTTACTTTATGCTTTTCATTTCTAGTGTCTTTAAAATTCTTTATATAGGGCAAATTATTTCGTGTGTAATGAATTATATTTTTAAAGAAAATAAAAAATAAATATTTATATTCATATGTGTAGATGTGCATACACGTATTCTTTTTATATACTTTATAAATAGTTAATCCCTAAAACAATTTTATCATTCGTTTCCCTTGTGCTACCTACATTATAAAATATGGTTTATTAACATAATATGAGTTCATATTCTTTCATTATAAATATATTCTTATATGAACTATTATTTGTATTATCCAAGAAAAAGCAGATGTAATCTATTAAACGCATCGATATTATTTGAAGTTTAAAATCATATCTATATAAGAATTATTTATTATATATCATAATTTATGTATTTCATTAAAGTAAATGTAATTGCATCATAGTAAAATCTTTTATAAATGTGATTGTATTAGATATTAATGCAATAATTGAATACATCTGCTTAATAGTTAATTTACAGTATTGTTTAATGTTACTTATTACTTAGCTGGATATATAAAAAAAAAACAAATAACAAAAAAATTAGTTATAAATATTTCTCTTTTTTCATGTACGTGTTGAGTGAAGCTAATGTAGATAAAATGAATAAGTGTTGCCAAAACGAGAATCGTAAATTAGTAGATTAAAGGGTTTAAAGATGGAAGATTAGCCTTGGATCATATGTTCAGTTACATTGATAAGTCCGTACTTGAAAGTAGACATGTAAAGAGGAATTTAGATAAATTTAAATTCATTTATTGCACATACTTTCTTATAAAAAAAAGATTGTATAAGAAATAACTCATACTACGGATCATACTAATTTTTATACTTTTATATTTACTAAATTACTATACGTTCTCGATCATTGTGTGACTTTTAATAATTATATGCAGTTTTGATATTTTTACTTCGGTGCTTCAGACGGTTGAAAAAAGATATTAATAATTTATACCATCTATAAATGAGTTGCTTTTTATAATTTTTTAGTCATTCGCTTCGATCGAAGGCCACTATCCAAGAATTACAAACGAATATGTGTGTTAAGTGTATTAAAAGAAATTTGTTAATGATTATGCTATTTAATGCAATTGAATGATGATGAATTATAGGTGAGATAATCTACTCTCGAGGGATACGTACTTGCTCTTCCAACCATTTGAACAGCCCGCACGCCTTTCCGGAATGTGGCCACTGCCCGAAGGGAGAAGAGAACCATAACTGTTAGTCTTGATATTAAATGTAAAACAACCCATACATTTATATATATATATATATATATATATATATATATATATATAGGTCTGTCGATAGATCGTCATAAAGTTTTCGGGGACATGACGATCTTAGTAAATGCGGATTTGATTACCTTCATATGTTATTATGATTTTATTCCAAAGTTTAGAAATTGTGTATTATTTAAGATAGCAATTAATTAATTGATTAATTAATTGTTACATTTAATTGAATATAGGAAATCGAAAATAATTCATAATTTTTCAGTTATGATTCGAATTTTAATTGAGATGATTAAGATTGACAATAGATTAGCGATTATTTGTTATTAATAATTCATTATCGAGACGTGTTAAAATACAGTTAAAATACAATAATTTCGGAAGACATTATGTTAGCCATAGTTCTCTCGTATGATGAGGCAAGATAAAAAATATTGCATTTGCATACCTAAAATGAAATTGAATTGTTATGAATTCATTTTTATATAATATCTACAAAATTATGGAAGTATAATTATAGGACTATAATGGGTAAACGTCATTTCTTTGTTGGTGTTAATACGAAATAATGAGGCTTTATATGCGATATAAAGGTGTGCTCGTGTTTGAGATTATACTTAAATTGTATCCGAATAAGTATATCATATTAAATAGAAAATTGTAACACGTGTCTCATTACGTATTCCTGGAATAACTAATTCATACTTCGTAATTACGGTGCGTATATGAGTCCAGTTAACAGTCAAATGTATGATAACGGAATTCAATGATAATCGACCATTAGTAATTGAGGATATGAATGGATAGTATTAATTCGCAAAATACGCGAGTCATGATAGTGAACGTTCATTGAAGATTTGAGTATAAATCTACAGAAGATAATTCGGCATATGAAATTACTAAAATACACATACACCCTCACTTATAATTATATAGACTTATGTACATGCATACATCTTTATTTCAATGAAAACACATATATTTTACTAATTATTCAAGAGAACGAAGAATTCTTTCTATATATGTGTGTTAACGCTTATTTAAATGCATGTATGTGTGTGTATACATTGTTATGGGCTTGTATAAATACATATGTAATCCATACAAAAGAAAATTCAAATGCTTGTTGAATCAAATTGTTGATGAAATGCAAAAGGTAAATTTCTACAGGAAAATTATTTTATAATTAATGAATATCATTAAGAATATTTTACATTTATAAATATTATATTTTAATATGTACAAATTGATACAGTTGCCACATATAAATGTAAAGTATTTGTGTATAAAACGAGAAAACATATTGAAGAATTTATATGGCTATTCAATAATACGAAACATTTAAACGTTTTTAACAAATGTTTAATAAAAAAAATCGTTATTATTCATTATGTAAGTATATTTCTGATCTAAATAATAGGTTATTCATGATTATTTTCAATAAAATACAATAAAAGAAATAAATCGTCTTTTGTTGAAATGTATTTTATTTTTTAATGAGTCAAATATTGAAAAAATCTAATTTACATTAATATTCACGAAATATTGAACTTGATAATATTAATGAAAATATTAATACTGGTGTAAATAAAGAATGAAAAGTTTTTTACTCGCCTTTGTTTAGGTATGTAATGTCTCTACTATTATGTAGTGCATGTCAAAAACACAGTTAAACCCTGGGCATTAATCAGAACATTTAATAGTTCTGTACCAGTTGTATATAAAGTGGGTATATTACACGTAATGTGAATATAATATATATTAAACTAATATGAATAGTAATATGAACATATAATAATTCATGTAAATGACTTTGACCTTCAGATGGTAAATCAGTTTATAATTGCTTGAATTGAAGGATTCCTATGTATGTATATACATACAATTGTCAATTCTCATAACGATGTTATAGATTTTTATTGTCACCTTCACATAGGAGATTACATAGATCCACGAAACGATATCCTGTAAAATCTAAAAGTACTGTAAACCGATACGTTCGTATCAGGAATCTGATAATTATAAATTATAGTTGAATAAATTTAATCCATATAAATAATAATAAAAAAATTAATATAATATTTATACACAATTACAGCATAAAAGACGAAAACTGACCTATTAATATGGATTTTTATGAGCAAGCGTTACTTCAAAATAAATACGAAATAAAAGCTCTTACGTATTATGATGTAAAATATTTATTATATTTGGAACATTTGCGAAAGACAGTTGTTGCTTTTCAATAACATAATCGATACAACGTTAATTTTATTAAAAAATTGTTGTTAATATTTGCTTTACGTGCATAGAAATTTCATTTGAATAATAAATGTTTACATAACAATCATAAAATGCATATCATATAAGAAGAATTTGTTGTTAAAAATCTAAGTGATAGTTTAACAATAAAATCTTATTTCTTCGTGTAAGGCTAACGAAACAACGATTATTTAATAAGATAAACAATATGCGTATAAAAATTTTTACCCACTCTAAAAGCAACATTATAATATTTCCAACTAAAAAATAAATTAAACATATAATTACCACTTGTATAAACAATTGTATAACTAATATTGTCTGAGAATTAAATATGTATTTGTTAAAAATATTTAACATTTCACAACACACATTTACTTCAATCAATATGTTTAACGTGCTTTGATGAAAGGTGCATCAATTCTTTTATATTGCGAAGCTCTTACGTAGCGATTCTTTGTAAACATTTTTATTCTACATTAATGCAAAAGTATCATTTTCGGAATTACAAGTTCTTCAAATGTATTTTTAATTTATATATATGTACATAGATACATACATATATAAACACATAATTCAGAGATTGAAATCGCGGATGATAATTTGTCAAGCAATGTTAATGCTGTGGAATTTTAAAATAGCCAAAAGCCTCTCAATGCTTTACCATTTCAAACGAAAAAGCATTTTTAACGATAACATGATATATGTACGGTGTTAAGAATTATTAGGATGATATGTAAGAATAAATTAATATTTATACATATATGCATACAATACATATGTAAATATATATATATATATATATATATATATATATATATATTCTCGTATAAATTACAATTAAATATGAATAAATTATAAATAATAAAGTATATCTAATTAAAATAAATAATTTAAATTAAATGATAAAAAGTTATAACATTTTGCTTCATTGATAAAGAAAGATTTCATTTTTGAAAATATTTTAGAAGACTACGCTGACAGCTATGTTTGAATTACAACAATAATAAAAAATAGTTCAACATATATTTTGAAAATTGCTTTAACAAAGTTTTTAAATTAAGAATTTTAAAGGTACTATTTATTTTTGTAAATAATCAATTATATATGCTTAAAATAAACACTTTATCTTTTATAATTATATAAATTACAGATAATACAACACGTAATAAATGTTATGTTATCGTATCTATATATTTTTTTAAATATACGTATTTGTTTATAAGAATTGTTCTTATCTCACGTGTTTCTAAATTGTAACATACTAAAGTTATTTATAAATTTATTCCATTTACAAGGAAAGCGAGAGGGGAGAGAGAGAGAGAGAGAGAGAGAGAGTGAGAGAGAGAGAGAGAGCAATGAATAAGATGATGGATGGTGTATGAAAGCAGAGAATGGAAAAAGGTCGTACCGTCGAGGTATCTGTGGAAGACGGTTGCCTTCACCATGCCGGACTGCATCATCATCATTCCCACATCTGTAAAAATTGAGTGATGGCAAAGAGTCTTATTGTATAACTTAGAGGCATAAGTGAGAGTATGATCCCATTCAAATGCATTCAAATATTTATAGGACAATGTTATTATAATTCAAAATTTTGAAGGACGTTATAATGAGATAGCCCATAAGTTTCTTCAATTTGTTAATCGTTCGAGAAGAGAACTTTTGCATTCTCGTTGTATTAAGAAATTTATTATATTAACTAAATTTTTGTAATTTTGAATTACTATATTATCGTCCTGTTACACAAGTAATATTTGTATATTAATGAGAAACGAAGAATAAAAAAAGGTGAATAGCAAAATATGATATTAAGAGAATGAGGTTGTCGCTAGGCTCTTCATTTTTCTCCATTAAATGCTTCTAAACGTTGACAATTTACTTCCATACATTCTGTCAACTGCTCCATATTCCATGTATGTAGTAGTCCAGCTTCTAGTATACATTTGAAATTACGATTAGATGGTATTTAAAAAATGTTGCGTTGTTTTAAAATGCTTAATAATGCTCGAGCATAATTTTACTTTTAATGACTGATAGTCGAGCTGTTAAATGATGGTGAATATAAACGTTGTGGATTAAACATAAGTCACAGACAAATTTGTTACACTGTTAGCTTTAATTTATTCGATTATTATTTAATTATATTATATCTGTTAGATAACGAGTAAAGCTATGTGAAATTGTTTTTGTTAAATTTTATAACTAAATGAAGAATACATTTTATTTATGACATTATATGATTAAAAAGAAACCTAGTTAAATGATTTTTATAAGTTTAATATAAAATTATTATTTAGGGATTATAGAGTAGATGAATTATGTAATATTCAAAGAAAATGATGAACAAAAACTTCTAATGTAATTGGGTACAATTTTTTAAATGTATATTATTCAGTAATATACTATTATTTATATATAAATATTGAAAGAATATAATTAGGCGAAGAAAGAATATAATGGTCATAGCTACTTTTTAGTTATTTACAAATAGATTTTAGTATAGTATAACGTTAACGAGTTTTTGTTCCATATGATATCTTATTTGTCTTCATTTCGAAATATATAATGTGTATAATTATTATATAAATTGATAATTTTGTTCATTCTATAAATTTAAATTAATATTAATATAATCTCTATTCAATAATGGAACAAGAAATTTAAATGAAAAACGAATATTAGAGATTTGATTCGATTTAATTAAAATGTATAATTTAATATAAATATATGTTTACGTAATTTATATTTAGTACTAATTTTCACTGTCCAAATAATAATGAAAGTTAATTTACATCGTGAACATTGTTTTCTGTTTGCCCAGGGTTTATGTACATTTTTTTTACAGTTTTGGTAAGAGTAATTGGATATGGTGTGTGACAAAATCATGTAAAATAACTGCATGTCATATTTTACAATTTATAAAATATACCTAAAATCGTATATACTTAGAAATAATTCATTCAAGTTGGATTAATTATTCGACTTATTGATTTTCTTTATGAAGAAAGAAACTCATCCAATACTCGCTCATATATAAATATATTTGTAAAATATCATCACCAATATAAGAACGGCAAATCTCTAAAATTGTACATAAAATTTCATATACAGGTGAGAATTATTAAATCAGCAATAATGAAGACTTTGTTTGTGAAAAGTTGCTTCATATAATGTAAGTCCGTGTTAAGTTGAAAACTGATGAGGATATATGAAAACGTGCAACTGTTAAAATACATCACAACGCACCTTCCTTTACAAAATTGGAATACATATAATAGAGATAAAAAACCATAAGCGATTATGAATATTCTCGCAATATTGAGATTCAAAATCATTGCTTATTGAACAATATTAATTTAAGAAAATGAACATACAAAATGAAAAAACGAAAAATCTAGCGATTAGATATATATTAATGGAACTTAAATTAATGAAAAATAGATATAGTAATTTTTTTATTAATATTGATATTGACAAATTTCGTTTAATGTAGTTTCTTTTATGTGTATATATATATATATATATATTAATAGAATGCTGTTTTTACTAATTAAACTTAAATTTGAAATCAAATTGTCATTTAACATAGAATAATATTATTTTCTTAAAAGTGAAAGCAATTTTAAACAAGAGATATGAGAAATCATAGTATTATTTAATTGTTAAATTAAATGTTAAATTAAATATTTTTTTATTTGCTACAACAAGCAATTGATCAAAAAGTTTAAATAAATAAAAGTAATAAATAAAAGTTAAAAGTAAAGAGGGTGAGAAAGATCAATAGAGACAGGCAAACAGACAAAGAGAAAGAGAGAGGCGATAAAGAAGAAATCACCATCCAAAGACAAAACGACTTTGCTGAAAAAATTTTCATTGACGTTGCGAATACACTCCATCGATAATGTTGTTTATATTTCATTATGCCGATTACGATGTCAATACTGCCTCAATAACAATAAGTGAAAAGAGAATCGATCAGAGAGATCAAGAGTCAGCAGTTGATGTTAGCAGATATTTGTAACGTGCAAGACAATAAAATAAAGTAATTCAGTAAGATATGCATATTAACGGAAGAAAATTAGAAGGGAGTAGATTATGTTGATAGTCAAAGATAACAAGATAAAAGATATAAAGAAATAGCAAAGAAAGAGAGAGAGAGAGAGAGAGAGATAGGGAGAGAGAACAGAGAGAATTAAGAGAGGATAGAGAGAGAGAGAGATACATAGAAGTGATGCGTGAATTACTAGGGTGCAGACTAATTTTATAAATTTATTTGATAGTCAACAATATACTGAAAAAGGGCATTAGTCAGATAATCATACGCCAGCTGACTGAAAAATCTATACTTTGAGCAGAAAGTTTCGTGACTTAAAATTTCTTAAATAGATATTTATTATTAAATAATGTAAATGCATTACTAATCTTCATTCTAAAATATTTCTTGAAATAAAGATCTTTGTAACAGTTATCAAATTTATAGTTATTTGATAAATAACTTTGAGGTTTATAAACTAACTAAGCGGTTTGAAGTATAATACTTTAACGAATACATATATATAAAAAATTCTTTTTTTATAATACGAAATCTCTATAACTATTTATGTATACAAGTTATATTGTTGAATTGAATACAGTTTGAACTTATGTAATTATAATTTTTGCATTTTATTCTGAAGCATAGAAGGATTCCTACATTTGTTATTTTTTGGAAACTATTAAAAATATTTCAAATATCTCTCTAATGAAATCTTAAGTCCAATTATTACATGATTCGAAGTTATTAAAGGAGAGTGAAACATTTTTTAAAGTGTCGCATGCTCATCTCAATAATAACGCTTCATATTAGTCATGTTTTTGTTTTCAAATATTTAGCTTCTATCATGAAATTTAAGTATGTCTACATATGTTTCATTTCAAAACAATAATAAGGTAAATAATGTATTACATTGGAAATCATAGAAGAAAAAATGAAGCGTCATTCGAGTAGCATTCCAGTGTATACAATTTTGTTTAGCATTAGTGTATGCCAAAAGAGAAATGTCGTATAAAATATAAAATGAGAGAGGAAGAGGAGAATCAAATTGAAAAAGAAATTAAAGACATAAAATTCTATTAAGTAGCGAAGTAAGTAATTGAATGCAGAATGCTTCGTTATCGCTATTATATATTTTAATTACAAAACAGATCATCATAATATTATAATGATGATTGGAAAATAATACATAATATACATAATTAAACAATAAGTGTGAAACTCTTCGATAAGGTGTAAATAAAAAATATTTCAGATTCCAAATGGTGACTAAATAAATAAAAAGAGCAAGATACAAATAAATAACGAACTAACAAAACAGAGAAGAAAGAGAAATTTAAAACTGAACAATGAAAAAGATTATTACTGACGAATTGATTTATCAAAGATAAAAGTATAGAAGAAAATAATATACAAATAGATGAATAATTATTGCGATCAACTTAGAGTGAAGGTTTACTGTTCGATTAATCGTAAGAGCTGAACAAAAAATGGTGTGGAATATAATTAACGTAAAGTGACGAGTTATTAGAAAATAAACCATGTATTATAGGAAAATAGATGATAATAATAATAAATTTCTATAACAAGTGTCAGATAAGAAAACAGAAATAGATAAAGAGAGTAGTAGAAATAGAAAAGAAAGACTTGAAGCGAGCGAGTGAGAGATATTACCTAAGTCCCGGCCCCAGGAGCGCTGCTGCTGCCCCACTAGATCAATATATCACAATTATGTTGTCACAACTATGTCACTTATAATTATTTGTCGCAATTATATTTTATGAATTCATTCAATATATATATATATATATATATATATATATATATATATATATATATATATATATGTTTATGTATATATACACATAATTTAAAATATGCGACGTAAACCCTCAATTTTAAAAATCAGGATATAAAACATACTGGATAGGGCTAAAGCTTTTTTGTTCTTTGATTCATGCTACAGGGTTTCTCTCTATTTTTTTTAAATATGAATTTTTTTTCCTGATAGGATTTTCTGATACTTTATACGTACATTTACTCATAGCTTTTCTATTCTACGATTCTGAAGGAATTCAGTTAAATAAAAAAAATAAAAAAAATAGGTTAGAAAATAGTTTAATAATCGTTAATAATAAATAATTTTGTATAAAATTATCCATGCATATTTATTCATAAATTGTACGTATGATTTTGAACGTTATAAAAAATTAGGAAATAAAATTGATTTTCATCAGTGAATAGGTACTTTTTTTTAAACCTTATAAGCAATATTGAAAAAAAATTACTCATTATTGGAGAGATTTAATTGTATCACTTAATGATATTTATGTGCATATGCGATAAATATATTTGGAAGGACTTACAGTTTTTGCATTTGCATTTCTTGATTAAAGTTTCGTCCTTAATATCTTCATGGCAGGCTTTGCAGTAGAACCATGCACTAAAATATTATAAATTCATTAAATCGAATATTACATTTACATTAACGCGGTACTACAAGTTTTGTCAATTTTCGATTAATAAGTATAATTATTTTATAAATATCGCTGAACGTATCTTTACATTAATTTAATAGATCATTTTATTAATAAATAAGATGTTTAGAGAAATGAAGAAAATTATAATTCCTTGTTTTATATTAACAGCGTCAACATTCAACTTACGTTTAATAAAACAAATTCCTTGATTCAATATCACATAGTATATTAGCCATTGTTTCACTTACCGTTTGACTTCATCCGCTGATTGAGCAATGAAGAACCCCTGAGTATTAGCTGCAATCTTAGCACCACGTGGATTAATTGAGATCTTGCTATCCGTACCTTCTTCTCCCTTAATCTCGATTGCCAGAAGCAGTAGCTTTAGTTTGGTGAAGCATAGTCTAAGGAAAAATCATATATTTATAGTAAAGGTGTACGACTTTATCTTCACAAATACATACACACGATTTATACAAATGTTTTGTAAATGTAGAGCTAATATTTATTTACTGTATTCCGTATCGTTGAATATATATATATATATATATATGTATATATATATATATATATATATAAACAAGTAAGAGATGAAAATGTAAGGAAATTAATATTCTTTTGCATATATCTCAATATTTTTGCATTTATTTTTTGAATTTATTACATTTATTGGTTAAAATGAAGAAAGACAATATTTAATATTCGTACAAATATGAACAATTTATTTTCTAATAATTTTCTAAGTAATTCTAAATTTTGAAAAATAAAAAATCTAATGAACCATAATTCACATTCAATATTATTTTTACATACTTATACATACACTATACGTATATTAACATCACTAATTTCCTTACAAATTGAATCAATCTTAATGGGAATAAGCGGTAAAATGAAAAATATATTTATTCATAATAAAAAATATTTTTTATATTTCATACGTAGTAAGACATTAAATATCTTAAGCAAACAAAAGCTTTACAATGCCTTCAATCGACTAATTTCTACTAATGCATGTATTGATGTTATGACAATAATACGCATAATTAATATATATATATATATATAGTAGTAGATGAATAACGCCAGTGCATCGAATGAAGTGATCATTAAGATTATTTAATTATGATGCATTGATATTACTAATAATAGTTTATAATTGTATAAAGTAAAAAGTTTAAAAAGCATTGTGTTTGTATTAAATATTCATTTCTTTCATTTACATTTATTCATTGAGTTTAAACTATGTAAATATATTTATATACAACATGAAACTCGATCGATGATTAATTCAAATTTTTTTTATGAATTCTAAATAAGATATTCGATTGTACATTGATAATATTTACACCAATTTATTTGTGTTCTTGATTAATAAACAATTTTCATTATAATAGAATTTTATGTCCGATGCACTTGCGATTGATTAGATAAATATTAAAAATTGACTTATGCATGCAAATTTTTCAATATTGTACTACGCTATTTGAGTGAAAATTAGTAGAAAATACAATACGCGGCTTTTGAAAACTGACATTCATGATTTATTATTTGTATCTGCTAATATTAATTTATTCAACAAATTATATTTGAATACTTCATTATAAACTGTATGTCAATCTTATATATTTATATATAAAATAGTTATACATAAGATAAGAAGAGTTGTTAAGTGAAATGTATGCAACTTTGAATATTTTATAAATTCAATTCCCCATTAATACTTAAACTATTTCACATCGCACAGTTATCAGAAATTGTAATACTTTTTCATTTTTTTAATTCATGTCCACCGATTCTTCTAACAATCATCAATATCTAAAAGTTTTTTATACATTATATATTTTATATATTTTTATAAATTTTGTATATACAATTTTTAATGCACATGACACTTTTTTTATAAATAATTATGTGGTTATTATCGATATTAAACGAAGATACAGATGCAAATTAACTGATGCATGCATATACTACAATAATTAAATACATTCTAGTTTTATTAAATAATCTAAACTTATATATTATATTATACTACAAGGAAAATTAAATATTAGTTTTATTTGAAAGATAGTAGTAGAGCTTGTGAAAATTACATGGCTTTCATAAATATCTAACGATACACTCTTGAATCAGTAGTAATGGAATAAATTGAGGTACATGATATACGCGATTATATAATAGAAAGATTTCCTCTATAAGGAAGTATAAAAATGTAACTATAATAAATAAATTGGAAATGGGTAATAATAATCAGAGTAAAGTATATGTAGGGGTGCGTCCTAAAATTAATTAACTCCCACACACGCAAACGAATGAATGATAGTAGTGGTAACATAACAATGATATTAAATGAAAGTTAAAAAAAAAGATTTTTTAAAAAATATAGAATAAATTTCCATAGGAATGTTTTGCTCAGATTTATTTTTACAGTATGCAGTAATAAGTTAATTAAAGATTGAAAATAGAAATAGAAATAATTTTTTTTTTATTTTAACTTGTGTATATAAAAGAATATTATATTTCGATGTTAAATATTAAATATTATAATAGTTTATATACGTAAAATTTATTAATAATAAATATTATTAAAACCATTTATTAATATAAAATGATAAAAATAGACAATTTAAGGCATTCAGTTTATATTTGTCTATGTCATATTATAAAACTTTATGATACAGATGTGTTATTATTTAAAAATATATAATTAAACTGAATACCATATAAATTATTGCGAAATAATGTTAATAGTCGGATGAAAAAAGCATTAAACGTGCATGTATGTCATTCTAATCAGATACTCTAATCGGAGCTTAATAAAAGTGTTTGTGTTTTAATATGAAATTGTAACAGGACATTTCAATAAAAGATAATAATAATAAATTATAATAAAAAGTAAAAAAAGATCTAAAAATAAAACTATGAACAACAATATTGTAAAATAGTTTAAGAATCTGAAAAGTGTTTTCTAGAATATATTGTTAATAATTTGAATTTGTGAAAATATTCATTTAACAATGTATCGAATGGAGAAATTAATCTAGAAATATGTATCTTATAAGTTTTATATTATAGTAATCGATAATTTATTATTTATATTACACAATTCAGTTTAAAACATTAATTTATTACTATATGGTTGCTATACTGCCATCTAGTTAGTATTATATAACATATATAATTTATACTTGACTATTTGCCATTTACTGTTTGCAATTTAAAAATAAAACATAGTAAAATATTTTTTCTTATCATAAATATTTAAGAAGTTTTTTTGTTAAATATATTTTACTTATTTAGCTGGAAAGTCGAAAACGAGAAAAAAAACTCTTTTTCACTATTATAATAATTCGAAGTAATTTGAAGAATGATAATTGTTTGAATGTAAATGTTTGAAAATAAAATTTAGCATTAGTTCCGGAGCTTTGCTTTCCTGCTATATCAACATTTATGAAACGACATGTAAACATATTTCTAAGGTATAATAGATTCATTAACAGCGAGCTTGCTATTTAGAATATACAACGGAAGGCGACTGACATTGCATTATTAGACTACATTTGCTTGTATAAAGAGAGAAATAACTTCCATTTTCGTATGCTTAGACTCGACAGTTTGTAGTAGTTTTTTTTTTATTAATTTTTTTAATTTACTATGAGTACGAGTGTAAAAATTCAATACTGTCCATACATATAATTTCTATTTTATTTATAGTTATGATATTTATATTTAACAGTTATACTTAGCAATTATTTGGACATGACTATTGGAAAACTTTGATTACTATATATTTAGATAATTATATGACAATAATTTTTGGAATTAAAATTTTGCTTTTGGATCTTTCAACTTATAATTATATATGCTGGTCATTAATTTTCTGATAATTTACATAATAGTCTATTTATATAAAATTATTTAGATAATAATTATTTACAAGAGTTAAATAATCAAAAGCGCAATTAGTAAAAAGTAGTAATTATTTACAAAATTGTTTTGTATAAATTTGTGTTGGATTAATATATTTAAAATAATAAATATATACAAGTGGAAAAGTATAATAGATATCTATAATTACATAATTTGGTGTTTATAACAGATTAAAATAATAATTGATTAATTAAAAGGTACATAAGGAAGAATACTAAATATATAAACATTTTGCGTGAGATAATTAATTATCTTAAACTATTCTAATAAATATTTTTATAGTGCTTCAACATAGCTACAGTCAATGATATAGTAAAATAATAGTATATTTCTAAAGAGTTTTCCCATTTTAGTTTTTATAATACAATAAAGTGCAATATACTTTAGTAGAAAATTATTTTCCGAAAAATGCGAGAGAACAAAAAGTAGGAGTTGCTCGATTTATTACCTAAAGACTTTGAGCCTGCTAACAAATTATCATACATAATTACAATAAAATATAAAAATAATGGTAACTATAATGTAATGAATAATATAATAGTTACAATACTATTCTAATAGAAAATCCAATTTTTATCAGAATGAAAAGTTGCATCACAATACAAGAAATAGAATAAAAAAAAAAATTTACTTGCATGTATATTAATGATAAAACGGTGTAAGGTCATTATAAAAGTACATTCAGGGAATAGAAATAACTATGTAAATGCAAAGTTAGATATTAACGATCGTGTACGTGAACGAGTGGCAAATATATTTGAAAAAGAAAAAATCAGCGTAGTCACGTATAGGAACGTTAAAAACAGTAGAAACAATAAAAAATAGAAGACGAAACAAAGGTACTCTCTCAACATAACAGGGAGGTATACGATAAAACGAGGACAAGGTTATTTCTATAAAGGAATAAATAGTTGCGAAACGGTAAGGGACAACAAAGTGGAATACGGTGATACGTAAATGTACAGTAACAAAAATATGAGACATACACAAAAATAGAAAAATGTACAAGATATACAGATGAAGTTTTGTTTGATAGTACTGGATGTGTTAAAAGAAAATTATCAAGAAAGATTTTATAAAAATCAGACAGGCAGATAAAAACAGATAGAAAAATAGGTAAAGATTGAGAGTAGAGAGATAAATGAAGAAAGAAATTAAATAATAAGAGAGTAGCAAAGTGATACATACAGAGGGTATATAGAGAGTAAGAGAGAAAGAGAGAGAGAGAACGAGAGAGAGACAGAGAGAACGAGATTGACAGGGAGAGAGAGAGAGAGAGAGAGAGCGCAAGAGAGCCAGCGAGCGAAAAACAGAGACACGGCGGGAGAAACAAAAGAGTGGGAGCAGAGATGCGAAAAAGTAGACACGAATAAAGAAATGGAAAATAGATAAGATGCCAGAGAAAGATAGATAGATATAAATATATATATAAATGTATATATATATATATATATATATATATATATATATATATATATATATATATATATATATATTGAATGAATCGCAATTCGACGGAATGTTTTAGAAAAGGTTTTCCTACATTGGCTTCCACAGCTTTGCACGATGAACCTAATTGCATTATATCCCTTAATGTTAGCGAAACGCGATTCACTCAATGATATGTATAATAAAAGAGAGAATGAGAGTAGACTAAAGACGACAATATCGGGACGGGGCGGTAAGTTTGCATGTGTGGCAGCCGTCGGCAGCGAGTGACTTACTCGCTGGCTTGGGGAAATGTCATCCCGGTAAAGGACGGGGAGAGGGTTTCCGTGTACATCTCGCAGCCCGTGCCCTGTAGGTAATCATTCTGCCATGCCTGAGTGTCCGGCGACTGAAACACCAACCAACCATGACTCCACGTCATCACAGCGATCGAGAGAAATTATGTGTCAATGGCTTATACTTTTTCACATGAAAATGGCATGTATTCCCAGTCACGAGAAGAAACGAAGCAAATGTAATGACGCACAAGGTTGTGCTTTGCATTTTTCTCCTAGCCTGGATCACAATCAACAGTCCCTTTCGACTAGGTGAAATTGTTGTGAGGTTATTAATGTCAAAGTTCTTATGTTATAAAGTACTCAAAATTCAGAGAAAAATGTTTAAAAAAAATTGTGCCTCTTCTCGTAGGTGGGATTTCGTGGAATATCTTACGCTTATTTCACATTTTTATAATATGCACTTTTGCGGATCGTTTCATTCAGTCGTGGGCAAAATGTTGATATTATGTTTTTAAAAACGTCATTATCACAAAAATAGCAACTCTTTACATTTTGTTATTGAAACATTACGAGGTTATTGTTCTCGAGATGTTTATATATACACATAAGCCGGTAGAATGAATGAAAACAGGAGACTTTCGTTAATTAGATCGATTATTAGCTTAAAGTAAATATTGCGAATATGTTGCTTAACGTCTTTTGCTAATATTAACTTACGTCGTACAATGAAAGATATTAATTTTGAAAGCAAACATAATTACTTTTTAATACACTTGCCCATGTCTGATTTCATCGAGAATTTAGTCAATGCTGTTTTTCGATATTACAAATTGACACTGAAAAATATTACCATAACGAAAAATAACATTTACATAGAGAACCTAAATAATGTGATAAAACTTGTTACAAAGTACTTCCATCACGAGAAGAAACAAGATTATAAAATTATATTTTTATCGACATGCCGTTTCTCATGGATTACATAGAGTAAAAAAATTCATTAAAAAAAGTTCAAAATTCAAATCAAAATATATGATATCTCTTCTCGTAGGTGGGACTTGCAAAATGTAAGGGCAAATTTTTTACGCAGACTCATTTTATTCTGAGAAGGTAAAATACTTTTAAAAAGCATATTAAGATTTTAAAAAATTTATAAGCCATTAAACATTATACATTTCAAAAATATATAAACATAGAATACACAAATTTAATTGAAAACTGCCTACATCATATATTGAATTATTTATTTATGTTTTTTATCATAAATTATAAGTATACTCTATATTATATATGTTATAAATATTATTGAAAATTTAATATTCAACGTTTATAAAATTTCAATATAAATATGAAAAAAAATGAAAAATCTCTAATAATTAGGAATAACAAAATTTCTATCTAAAATAATGAATATTAAAAAATTTCTTTATTTAATAGATTAAAAAATATACCCTTAAATATACTCTTAGCATTAATTAAAAGAACGTTTTAAAATATTTTATACATTTTTCACGTTTACAACAATCAAATCACTTCATGCAAACTACAAAAACATATTTCACAATATTATCAATCTGTTAATATTTCACCAAAATAAAAAATCTGCTATGAAAAAGTACGATTACTATATACGCAGAAATCTGTAAAAAAAATTCATTTAAAAAGTTGGATCATCTGCGTGATATCTTTCTCGCTCCATCTGCAAAGTAAAGTATAATTCACCGGGAAAAATGGTTACTGAAAGATAAACACATACTGCCGACATAAAAAATGAAATATAATCTCTCACCATATACTGCATTTTAATTCGGTAATTGGGTATGAAAAAAACTAATATTTTCGTAATTAATGTAATTTAACAGATCATTTCGGTAGTAAATAGACATATAATGTGGATAAAGTAATTCTGTTTTATGCAAACAGGTTTGAAATTGTTGTAGAATCCTATTTATAACTAGCAATTCCACACAAAGATAAGCGAGATATGTAGAAATAAGAACTTTTGGATTATCAAATACATAAGCAATTGAAGAAATGTACGCAAAAGTGAAATACGATTAAATTTAATATATTTTTCTCGTAATTTATATATTTCTTGATACTTTTAAATCAATTATTCTATATATTCCTTATAAAAATGTAAAACTTACAGTAGAGACTATATATATATATATATATATATATATATATATATATATATATATATATATATATATATAGGGTATTTGGTATTTGAATTTGAAATCTTTGCTACAGAATTTAATACATTCTATGCAAAATTGTTTATAGAGGATATCTATCAATAATACTATTTTTTTATTTTATCGATTCAGTATAATAATATTTTTAAATTATATAATATTAAATACGTTAATTTTGTTATATGGTTACAAGTAGACTTTTTAAAAATTTGTTTTTAATTTATAACTGGTTTGTAAATTTGAGAGTCTCATTGAGAATTCTAATTTATACTAAAAATTGAGTTATTATTAACGTTTTATGATGTACGAAGACAAATATTGGCAAATTGTGACAAAAAATATTTATAACTTCATAAATATATGTGAAACTAATTTTTATTTATTGAATTTTAATAATTTATAAATATTATTATTGGATGTTGAATTATATTGTAAAAAAACATTATTCAAGTATTATAAGATAAAATTTCAGTCCAATTCAAATATATGATTATGTATATCTGCCATGTTTTAACAACATAATGTAATTATTTATAATAGGTTCTATTTTCTGTCATTAGTTCTGAATTCAAGAATAAAAAAAATTATTACTACTGATTGATAATTAATTAAATAATTTGGATATTTTCTTAATAATTCTATCAATAACAGTTTCATTATCCCGTTACTGTAGATTATGAGTGTCTAACTCTAATTTTGTTGTAATATAATAAATTTAAGTATTAAATACGCTTTTGAAGACTGTTTATCTGAATTTAATAATAATAAATATACAAAGTACAAAAGGATTAAGAAAATGTCACCTTAAATGGTGCTCGCAAATTTTTCGTGATAAATACAACCTCATTCGCATATTTTTATTTTATTAACGGCTCCTATTGGAATGGAAATTCTTTTACGTTTTTCAATTTAAAATAAAATATTCTATTGTGAAAAGAACTGACGAACGAAGGACAATGAATGAGATTACAAATAAAAAAATTATAAACAATTTAGCCAAGTATTATGGCCAAAATACGTGCTCACAGCAATGATTGACATTGAGTGAATTCACAGATGCAGTAGCAGTTGGTTGGACACATACCGATCATTACTATGCCCGTGGCAAAGATAATGATATACAAGTATAAAATGTAATAAAACGTTGAAACAATATTGAATTAGACAAAAGTGAGATAGTACACCACGTTACTCAAGCGATGTTAGGTGGCGTCACATTGATCAGGTGTGTAGCACAAATACGATGTTACTTTTTTACATCATTGATTAATTTATGTTGTGAGTACGCATACATGCATACGTACATACATACGCACGCACGCACCTACAATGTACACATACATATAGATATATGTGTATGTGTGTGTGTATATGTGTGTGTGCGCGCGCGCGCGTGTGCGTGCGTGTGTGTTTGCATGTATGGTTTGTAAGTATGTATGTACATAATATTGTTCATTAATTTATTTGAAAGTTAGGCAGAAATAAAACGTAAAAAAAATTGTTGTTTAACTTGTTATAGCGAAGTGTGGAGCATAGTGAAAGAAACATTTGCAATAGGCAAAGCTTAATATTTCTTTTCATTCGATTTAAGAGACTGACTCATTAAAAAGGCAGTGAATCGAAACAATGACATCATAATTTGCATTTTTTGCAGTAAACAATATAAATACTTGTCTATACGAAAGTATTTTTTTCCTTTTTATGTTTTACATTTATACACTTTTTGATAATATATATATATATATATATATATATATATATATATATATATATATGATTAATTAGTTGCATTTTAATTGTTGATATATTTTTGAAAAATATTTTAGGAACTAAATAAAACAAAACAAAAATAAATAATTTTATTTAATTTTCATGAAATTCTTCCGAAAGGACGTATTTTTATACTATTCATATACAAGATAATAAATCTGTAGGATATGCACACACAATTTATTATTATATATTAAATGTTATGAAATATTGAAGTCAATTTATTTGACGAAAATTCTGTCAATTTAATATAATTATTTTTTATTATATTTTTTTTATATTAAACAACATTATTTAAATATTACATCTCAATATATTAAAATCTCTGTAATTTGTGTATTTAATAATACTCTATACATTACTGTATTCTATTACATAATATACATTCAGAAAATTTTATGTTGAGATGTTGCTATGGAAAAATAAATTACTTTATAAATATTAATGGAATATGCTTAATGGATTCATTATAGTGCAATAATTTCAAGAATTAAAACTAAGCCTGATAATTGAAAGAATCACTTAAAAATTTCTATATATAACAGTATTTATACAAATAAATTTACACAAAACTAAGCATGAATTTTTAATATTTTTAAGAAATAAAAATATATAACTATAAATATACTTTTTTTAACATTTCCATATTTCTCTTAAACAATATACGTGAAAGCTATTTTCTTCTGCTTATTACGTAACGTTTTTCAGTAAGGATGTTACATCTCACTTAAATTGTAATACAGTAGAGAACGTAATTTATTGACAATATACACATGGGTGAATGTTATTTATATCATTATTAACAAGCTCATTAATATTTAGAAAGATTGAATATTATAATATTTGCGACGTTTATAATATAATCTAATTTTCCTTATTATCGTATGTTGTCTCCAAGAGTTTTCGATTTTCTATTACTTATGAAATAAAATACCATTATGAATATTAATCAAATATCAACATCACAAATAATTATTAAAAAATTATATCTGTTTTCCATTAATAAAATATTAAGTTACTTATCATGATTTAATGATGTTTTATTATGTTTTATACACACATATGTTTTATACACACATATATATATATATATATATATATATATATATAAACTAAACATTTAAAGACGTTCAATATTTCAAAAATATTTCAAAAATATTCCACGAATCAGAATAATATTGTAGAGAACAATTGTACGCAGCGTAAGAAATCTAATTAATTCCTATGTGTATATACACATTTTTTTTTCTTAATCTCAACTAAAATATCGCGCGATTGTAACTCATTTAGTTATATTTTACAAGCACCCCATAAACTCATTATTAATTAATTTGTAAATAAAAATTTTAATATAAATCTATTATATTTATTTATAGTCTATAAACTAGAATTTATTTACAATTATTGAACAATATATATATATATATATATATATATATATATATATATATATATTGTTGATATTGTCATCATATAAAACCGGTCGAGTCTCTTAAATCGTTTCATTATCATCCTTCATTAGTCGCGAATTTTATGCATTATAATTAGTCTTTGTTCATAATGTTTAATATTACTGTTCTTGTTACTTTGATGATGGACCGACTTACTCAGTGGCTTTCGCAAAAGGCATTCCGATGAAGGTGGGGCTCAGTGTCTCCGTGTACATCTCCATGCCAGTTCCTCGAAGGTAGTCGTTCTGCCAAGCCTGTATTACGAGCGACTGATACCAATTAAGTCACCATATCTAAATTGCACACGCCTATGCATGTATTGAAAATCTGGGGGATGAGCACAGTGACTCGTGTCTTTGCTTGTTATGCTTCTCTATGTCGTTCATATTCTTAAGCTAGTTTAATGATTTATTAGAGGAGGGCAAGTGAAGTGTCAAATCTTTTTATTTCAACGAAACCTTTTTTTATCTTTAGTTTGTCATTTTTTTGCTTGTTTGTTTTTGCTTTTTGTATTTTATCTTCTGTTTCAGTTTAACAATTAAGCTAGCTGATAAAAATATAAACATACCAATATAATTTTTACGTTTCTTGCTGACAAAATGACAATCGATTATATAGCAATAATTGGCGAAGATCTTAAATTATATACGTTTGTAATTTAAAGCCTCTATGTTGATGTTTTGTTGATTATTTTTTTCATTAATTTATTAAAAGCTATATAATAATAAGTCACGACTATAATAACTTTTACAGTGATTTTTTAACTTTGTCAACAAACAACACGTACTCCTTATCTTTAATGAATGAATGATAAGAGCACGTGTATCACGTGTATTATTAAAAGACTTGACTTGGTAGTGTATAATATTGAAAATTATACCTGATCGATTATTCATACTCGGCTCCTTAAAGAAATTAGCAATCATTGTGAATTATTTCTAGAAGGAACCCATTGTATTACAAAAGGCTCGCACATGCATAGTTTTCTCTACTAAAGAAATATATAATATATCGCTGTCACTTGATAAAGCGTCTTTACGCAAGCGCAATATCTTGTGAACGACATTTACTGACCGTCTTAAAAGAGCGCATGGCAAAGAGATTGGCCATCATTGTACTAAATCCCGGCGCCAGACAAGACTGAGCTATGAATCCCAATTTCAATTCCGCCAGACAAATAACATCGTCGCCCCTCTTCCAGTCCCACGATGGAATGTTTAATAAATAGGCCTGCACAAACAAAATACATCGATAAAAAATAATTGGGATAATGAGAATATTGCTGCGGGATATAGTGTTGCTGCTCTTGATGATAATTGACATGGAAATCTCTTTCATTTCGTTTTTTTAATAATATTCAGTAGCATAAAATAACGTGAGATGAAGAGAGACGATTTTATTTAAGTTATATTCGATAGGTATTCAGATAAGGATATTCTATTGCGATTGAATTATTATGTTTAAATATAGTAGTTAACTCTCGAACTCCACCATTAAATTCATTACAAGCATATATAAAATAGAAAATTTTGCTATTTCATGTAGGCGATGTTATTCAATCCTTCGAGTATTTCAACGATCTTAGCTTATTGCTAGATGGAGGACGCTAAAGCTACTTTTTGTAAATGAATAATTATATAACAATAGCACATCGATTACATAGAAATTCGATTACATCAGAAAAATGATTTGTCTCGATTATATTGAAATATTATGTAAATTACTAAGACAACGTCTCAGAGCAATTATAAACACTTGATTGATTAATGATCAGTAGTACCTTATTGTGATACTGCATTAACTGTATGATAACGCGTATGTCATCGGAGTAGTTTTTTATAGAGATGACGCGCATTATATTTGCTGCATCTTCCGCATCTGGATCCTGACAATATTTGTTTGCAAGCACCAAACAGGCGTCAGCTTCATGGACCTGGAAAGTTCGATAAAGCCGTGATCTTTTATTTAAAATACTATATATGGTTTTTAAGTCTTATTTTAATATACGTGAAATGCAATTTGATTGGGATTTTGGCGGTAGATATTGCAATTTAATGGATATTGGAGATACGTGGATTTGACTTTTGTATAGAAGCACGCGATTCGATAACAGTGCGTTACCACAATGTAGAACATACGATGTATTGGTTTTAGTGTTACCACGATGCAGATGCATATTTCAAAAGATTTCAAGCTTTTGTATGATTATAAATTAAATCGAACATAATATATTATGGAAATTTTGAAATTCAGTATTTTTCTACATTTTTAAAACGATAACTTTTATTTATATTAAAAAAATCTTATATTAATGAAAGTGAAACAAGTGAGATCGCTTTGTAAAGGAATATAAGTGTAAATTACTTAGGAAATAGTCGATTAAATTTGTGGATTGTTTGTACCGATTGTGCTTAAGGCCCGTTTAATTTAATTTTTTTTTTTGTTTTTATATTGTGCATTTTATAAAAATACGTCATAAAGAAAGCTTTCTATTTATATAGCCTACCTCTACCTACATAACTTTCCACATGATAACATATAAATCATATACATGCAATTGAGAAATTGAAGTAAAAATGGATTATGCCTATCCCTTGGTAAAAGTAGGTTTGTATTTTGAAAGCATATACTTAAGCATTAAATATATATATATGTATATAAAACAAAAAAATATTTCTAACGTATCGCATATTTGTAATTTAACTGTATGGGTTAAATTATTATGTTTTCTACATCTATTTTCCTTGAAGTACTATGAACATGCATTGACTAATATCAAAACGAATAATGAAAAAAGAGAGGAAAACATAATTGGATGAATATTATTTCTCACCAACCTCGAACAATTGACCCTCGGCATCTCCTTATAATTCTTAATTCTTTCTTTAAAACAAGAACAATCGAAACTATTCTATATACTAGTCTAATATAAAAATTCTATTTAAATAATTGGCAAAATCAAGAATTTAATTTAATTTTTCAATTATATTACGGAAAATCGATTGCTCCTAACAATCTTTTGTTCTTTAATATCCGTAATTTTCATAAATTACGTGCTGAAATTTCAATAAGTCATATTTGAACTGAAATATTCGTTCAATTTCGATTATTAGGCAATTTCTTCTAACTATTGTGAAATTTTAATCATATGTACTTTTTATGCATGCTTGGAAGATAAAATCTGAAGAAAAATAAACAACCATGTGAAATATTAAGATCAAACTAAAAATATATTCGTCGAAAAAAAAGGAAATGGAAAAATGAAAGGGCATTAATTTAAATAAAAAGGCAAGAAGAGATCTAGTCAGTGCGGAAATTGTAGGTCATTTTTACAACGAGTCTTTCCATTTTATATTGTTTTCGTTAACTACTGCAAGAGCATTCAACTAATGAGACCTACTTTCACAAAATTATGCTTAATTCTAAAATGTTTCAAAAATTTTACGGCATACTACTATAAGTAAATACCTATTGAAATATATATATATATATATATATATATATATATATATGAAATTATGTGAGGCGAATGTTAACTCTTGAAACTCGAGCATGGGCAGCCATTTCTATGTTAATTACTATTTTTTATAAAGCCACCATTCGTAAAATATTCAAGCTGCACTTAACGTGAATCTGTAGCGATTGCACTTACCCCGCTATAGCTGAATCAACTCTACGCACCAGTTTCGTGGATTTCTTGAGAAATTAATGTCTCTCGATCGGATCTTACCACGCATTTTTATATTGGTAGGTCAATTTACAGATATAACTGTTCAATTTTATGAATCGAATAGTTATAGATGTGTTCATTTGTCAGAATGTATGAGAGTATATTATCACGGGAAAAGGTTCAGGTTATTATAATTAAGCCAATTTTATAAATATTGCAATAGGACGACGACCGATGTTATGTAATTGTGTTAACGTTTACAAATTGTCTATGCAACTGATTACGGAAATATGAAATTACATTTTCATTTTAAAACATTCCGAAGTTGATTCAATATTACAAGACAATTCACTACTTATTATTTACTTGACATTTCGGTAAAAAAAACAAAAATAATAGTATTAAAATACACCTTATTAATCATGATTAACAAATTTAAATTATACATTTGATTAATGCGACATTAACGCGAAATTTTTCTTATTTAAAAAAAAAATATGTATATACATATATACATATATTATAAATTATTCAAATAAAAATATTATAATAATTCATTTTTTTCTAATGTCTTATAAACTTCACTATATAAAACATTCACGGTGGGTAAAAACATTTCTTAATTCAATTCAACGTAATCATTTAGTGGCCAGATTAAGTCTAATCGATCTTATTGAAACGCAAATAATTTACATCATACTGCTATTATAGTAATACCAAATTCTTTTTTCCATGATACATAAAATACTCATGAATGAATATGTACATGTGCGTGCTGTCAGTATCAAAATGAACCAAGCGAATAATATTCAAAGAGAAATGTATAAGCAAAAATAATGTACTTCAAGCTTCGACGTTTGCATTTATAATAAATAACCATCAGATAAGATTTTAAAAGTTTTGAAATTTGAATAACCATATTCGCAACATGGAACATTATAAATAGTTATTTATAATAGTTTCAGTGAATCGACTTATTAAAATTTTTTTTCTATATTACAGTATGAATCGTAAAATGTAGGCTATACTTGGGAAATGTAATCTAAGTCTTTCAAGAATAAATTCAATGTAAAATAATACAAACTTGTAGATAATTTTAGAATTGTAAAATTTTTTATAAATTGTATATGACTAAAAGAGCAGAAAAAGTGATTTATGCGAATTTATTTGTATGTGTACGTTTTAATGTTTTTTGTTTCAAATAGAGTTGCATAACATTTATAGATATATATGACTAATTGTATAATTTGTATTTATTTTTATAAGTAAATTCTTATAAGTATTTCAACAATTTTACATTTACTTAAATTTTTTATAAAAATACAATATAACACAATGGTTTTGTCTTTATTTTTATATTATTATTCCTTGTAACTTTACAATAGAAACGTAGAGTTAAAAGAGATTATTGTAAAGCTTTTGAATGAAGTAACATTTGAATATTTTGAAACACAGTAAAAATTCAGAACTAGAGAATGTATCGACATTATGTTTAATCAATCTAATATAGTTAGCGAAAAACTAAAATTTCATAATATATTTCAAAATTAGTTTAGTTAATAAGTCAATATATTACTAAATTAAACCATTAAATTTTATAATAAGTGATCGCAATCGCAATGATTAAATAATCATACAAAAATATATTAGATAATTTAATAATTAAATGTCTAATTTATTCCAAAATTATCGTGTCATATTAATATAAATGTTGATGTTAAAATTGATGAAACATATTTAATGTATTGTCTTATTGAAATATATTTGAAAAATCCATTAATTAGTATCAAATACAAGTAATAATAGTTTAGGGCAGGGATGTGCGTAGCAGATAAAATATAAATTATTCTGACATATTTTTACCATATCGCAATGATACAACTACTAATAATAATATGAACACATATCGATATTTTTATATTATATAATTAAAGTATTGTACTGTATATAAAGCGCCTTATGAGAAAGGGTATATGATAATGTTAATATAGAATTTCCAAAGCACTATATTTATTAATATTATATTTGTATTTTTCAATTACTCAGCATACGATAGATAAATTTTTAAATTTCAAGCTCGACATTAAAAGTATTATATTTAAAGTGTACTTGATCGTATGCATATTTATAATATATTGTCATTGCCTTCATTTGAGCTATTCAATTTAGTATCCAATGATATCCTAGAGAATGCTAACTATTCACATCCTTTTTAAAAATGAGAAAAATGAAATGAAGAGAAAAATAAAATTTCCTAAAATAAAACGACCAAAAAAAGCGTCAGCATACAAAAAATATATGTATATGTAACTAGTATCATAGTGAAATGATAGTTTCATGTGATTGTGTTTATCATGGGATTCTGATTGTGACAACTAACCTTAACCCTCTGCAGATCAATCGGGTTCATGATGGTGCCCTGAAAGAACTCCACGGTAGTGAAATGCCGTTTGAATAGTCCTTCCAGCTCAAGGTCAGGTGGCTTCCTATTACGTCACGTTGAGACAAAATTACAGATTTCCCCATTTAATTGATATAGATAACATTGGTCACCTTTCTTTACTCAGCATCAGACACCATAAAGACTAATTTTCTTTATACTTTATGTATACATAATTGTAATAATTACAATGGTTATATGTAATAATTTTAAAAATTAAAGAAAACGAACCCAGAACGCTCTCTTGCATTTTAATTTAAAAGTTTGTAGTAAAATATAAACGCATGCATTGTGTTTAATAACAATGTTTTCTTCAATTGATACTAATTCATTTGTTTATTAAACTCAATTGAAACTAATTTTATTACTGTGCATGTCAATCTAAGTGATTGTACTATTTTAACTTTTACGACCACTAAATAAAAATTACGCAACCTACGTAAGCATTTAAAGTATAAAAAGTATAAGTACGATTAATACTTCGTTCTATAATTGATTGAAATAATAAATATTTAAAATTTCATCCGAACTATTTGATTGATTGTTATTAAACAATTTTTATACTTCATGTAATTATAATAATTAAGTAAGTCATTTCGTTGTAGTGCAAAATCCAGTATGTAGTGATGTTCTATAGAATTAGTTTCAATAATAAAAGATTTTCAAAAATATATATAAATCATTATTAGTGATATTATTAATATTATTATTGAATTCTGTTTATCGATATACATATATATATATATGTAATATTAATTTACTATTCATATGGAAATTATTAATTGAATTATCTTGATTTTTATTTCATAAGATTTTACGATTAAGCGGTTTTTTCTTCAGAATTTCAATTAATTTGATGATTTGTCCTTAAGCGTTACAGAAAAGGATTACAAGTATTATTTATATATATATATATATATATATATATATTTAGGAAAATCTTATTTCACGCAATGCATTCGCAAATATTAAAGTATTATAATCATAAACTAACAATTATATTAATAGTTATAATAAATATTATAAATATAATAATATAGTAATAATAGCAACAATTCTAAAATAACTCTATTGCACGCTGATTCGAACCCATAGCTCAATACAACATAATTCATGCATTTTCTCAGGCTAATACTATATATCTATGCGTCACTACCTCTCGTCCATGACGCAAATAAGATGTATACAACATACTGTATTTGCATATATATTTACAATTGTACACATAGGTTTTTCATTGGAAGAGTATTGATATCGTTATCATCTTTACATTGAATGAACTCAATTAATGCGTAGTATTTACAATTTTCAAATTACTTTTATCGACAAATATTTCATCATTACATAATAAATAATCTGATTGTTGTAGTCCTTCGTTCAGATGTATTAATTAAGTAAACATGATATTTTTGTTAGCACGATATCAATAAATTTCATATAAATTATGCTGAGAACGAGAAGTAGATTACACAAGGCATTCATAAAGTATAGAAGAAACCTTATAAGTAATAAAAAATGTTTAGAAAATATAAAAATCAGTGAGTATGAATATCAGTTTATGTAATGTATATATTTAAATATGAAAACAATATTTGTATCATTTGATGATTGTAAAATATTTTACAAACTGTTTATATCTGTAGAATTTCTTGTTTGAGTAAACTAATTAATTAGTATCATTAATTATCCATGTATGGATGTGAAAAACTAAGCACTGTGAAAATACCGTAGTTAATTGAAAAATTAAAACTATTAATATTCATTAAGAGATTATATAATGATTAGTCGTTATTAATGGTTTTACAAAACATTAATGTGATTCTCAGCATTTTCAAATATATATACTACATACAAATAATGATAAGGTAATATTATACAATTTTACTCAATAAAATAGATTCTCTATGAAACATAATTATAATATTGATGAAAATCTTATAGAAACGCTTTATAAATTATATAATAATAATAGTAATAAAAAGTAAGAATTTAAAAAAATTTTCTTAACTCAGTAGGTAATGTGTAGAGTGGCATACATATTCGTACCTAATAATGCGTATTGTGTACGTATATCAGTTGCATATGTATAGACATACATACATACATACATAAACACACACACACACATATATATATATATATATATATATATATATATGTATATACAATAATATTGCGTTTTGCGTGTTTATGTATATAATGTAGAAAATATAATAACGCAAAAATATAACTGTGCGTTACCTGCGAAGGAACGACCTTAATATTATAACAATACCAGCATTTATAAAAGTCGTGTACAATAGATATAGAGTTAAACGTACACACATTACAAGTATAATGAATTCATATGTACGTTACTTACAAAATGAAAAGTCTAAAAAATAGGATACATAAATCTAAGGTAACATCAAATAAATCAATAATATCCGGAATGGAAAACCGATCGATCGCTAACGTGTTATTTAGCTAGTATGGTCAGGCAAGGATTTTAGGACAGGTATACATGACGATCGATCGGGTTGTCGAGTTATTCATTATCCGTTGCTTCAGTGTATGGTAATAATCTACAAAATATGTATGCAGAGTAGAATGTGTGCGTGTGTGTGTATGTATATGTGGGTACGCGCGCGCGCACGTGCGTCGGATATGTATATATAGAGAAGGCATACTTATACACGCTGAGGTTCACTGCTGGAGTTTACAATTATGGCAAATAGGAAATTCAGTTTTGCGGGAGAAGAGCAAAGGGTATGAAGAGTAGGATAATATATGCAATGACGAAGAGGAGTGTATGCACAGACGAATGATATTTTGCTGCCCCATTATTATCGTTTGTGTCCTTTGTTATTTTGGTGTAAAAGAAAGTTGAGGGAGAAAATTGTGTAAAATTTCTGTCGCGATAATATATTGCAATTCTCAATTTTCATAATTTAAGAAATCATAAGAAATAAACAAAAAGCAAGCGCTAAACTCTAAATATACATTGTAAATATCGTTAATAGTATTTTAATTTTTCATGCTTCGAATCATTTGAACATTATTTTATAGTTATTAAACGTATCATCGTTTTTGTTACAAATGTTTAAAAAATATTAATACTAATTATCTTTAACATTTCTGATTAGCGTTTGCACTAACTAGTGAATGGATCATAAGAGCTATTATATTATGCAAATATATTAAGTGTAATTTGTTTTTTTTTGTTTCTTATTTTTTTTTTTTTTTATTTATGAACGCGAGTAAATTATTTTATTACGCTCATTTTAGTAGTAATTACAGTTTAATGAAAGTTGCATTACGTTTCATTTAGTTTATTTATTGCATTTCCAGCGTAAAGTGAGCAGAAAAATGCATCACGGACATATCTATTTCGTATATCAAGTTTTCACTTAAATATGATTGCAAAATTTTCCTTCGTTATTCTTCTAATTTTGCGCAAAAAATAGTTGTTTGTAATACACTTCTCTGATATGTTGATAAGAATTTTTAAAGCGGTGGATCGAATGCACCGACACATTCGAGTTAAAATGACAAGCTTTAAAGCTGCGCCAACAAGTTCTGCCGAAGTATATTTTTAAAATAAAATTTATCGATTTATTCGGCAATGGCGTTAAAATATACCGATAATACTATTATTTTAATAATGGCGATTGCTGCACCATTGTTAATAACGTATATAACCAACAGATTAAAAGCATAACTATCAAAACAATTAAGAACGTGCAATGTCAGTATTGGCTTTCTTCCTTAATAATAATAATTAAAATAGAGCGGTTATTCCGACCGCTACATAATGCCTTAAATCATCACGAGCTTAATCGTGAATATTATTTCAGGAATAAAAATAGCTTTCAGTATAATAACCGCGCGCTTTTCTCGAATTCTTAACTCTAATGTGAAATTCCATATTGAAAATTAACGAGTCCACTGACAATTAAAGACTAAAATATTTGTTCGCCAGGGCGTGAAGGAGGTTACGGTATAAACGTATATCGTGTATGTAGGTGTAGGCAATTAAGGGTGTAGGGTATGACGGATACCTTAACGCGCTCCAGATCCACAGCATTCATCATGGTGCCCTGAAAAAACTCCACGGTTGTGTAATGCCTTTTGAGGAGACCCTCCAATTCGAGATCGGGCTCCTTCCTGTAAAATTTACATGCGAACTATCCTTTATACGAAAAATAGCCGGTCACTTTCTCCCCTCGTGTCTAACCTTTCTAGTTTTCACATCCTCACTCGCACACTCACACGCTCCAACACACACGCACACGTATGAATATTTTTTTTTAGTCTTCTTGCGTTTGTCTCTTATTTGATCTTGATGGTCGTCTTATTGGCGTAGTTGTATAAATAATTAGCGTCCAAGCTGTATAAGACACGAAACTTAACTAACGTTTACATAGTTTTCTTAATTTTATGATTACAATGTCGTTCGTAAAAACATTATTATCTAATTTATGTAACAGGAGCAAACATTGCTAATTAAACATCAAATTATACAGGTGTAAATACATAAAATAATACATAAATATTCTTTTTTCTTGATTAATGAAATAACTAATCTTATCAATTACTAATGCCTGAAAAACAATCGAATAAAAAGATGAATTATGAATCATATCATCGTTTTATTTTGATGTTTTAAGGTGGAAAATGCTTTAAAATTGTTTCAATTTATATTACTGACATTGGAGCAAGAGGCCTGATTGTAGAAAGCCGCAAGTCTCTGTAGTTTAATTTCAATTGGAATTTACGTGATGTACATTATAAAATTAATCGTATGCGTTAATAAATTTAATTCGATAGAATGTCATATACCTGTGGCTATTAATAATAATTGAGTGGAGAAAAATTATTAATGACATTTTTTCTACCATATTATACTATTACCTGTTATTACAATTTTTCCTTTCCTCTTAATAATCAGTTCAATTTATCATAGAAGATAGTGTTATAGTTTTCTTTCTATTGAATTTCAAACACTGCCTAATATGTTTACTCTTTAATGTCACTTCTTAAGCGTTTTGCTTGTTACAATTTATAAACTTACAACATGAACATACGTACATCTACATTTATTAATAATAAGTAATCCAAATTTTTACTTATCATGAAAACATTTGTTTTTAAATTCCAATTTTAATTTTTCTTGCATCTATGGCATTTTATAAAAATGGCATACCTGTGTAAGAAAACAACTTCCACATCCACGTCTTCTCTATCCTCATGTAAAAAGTCCTTGAGGAAGTGGGAAACGGACTCGTACGTGATATGGCCGCACACAACAATGTGTCTGGCAAACATAAAATATGAGTTAGATCGTATTTTTAAACAGTATCTTCTTTATTTTATTTTCCGTTGTATTTTATTGAATTTTTTATAGAATAAAATGTTTAAAAAAAAACTACTTTATAAAAATTTTGGAGGCAAGACAAATTATACGTAGCTTACATTGGAGAAAAAATATATCTTGTATTATTTTGAAGTATTCGTTATTTGTTAATTACTTTTTTTTTGCTTTTTACAATTTAACTGTGAGATGAAATTAATGCTTTAATGAATTTAATACTTTTACGAAATAACTTTCGAAAGTTGAATGAAAATTAGCAATTTCTTTGATTGGTACCAAGGCCAAGAAAAAGGTTAAAATTATTATCAAAATGTATAACTCAATATTAAATTAAATATATAAATTAGAAATATTTACTTTTAATCTTTAAAAATTGAAATTATTTCAAGATTACCTGAATATTTTAAATGAATGATTATAGAAGAATAAATTGTCATTGCAAAAAGCAAATAAAGTAGTGAATGCAAACGAATGAATTTTAGTATTCAGCTTAACTAACAATTACATAAAATTCTCTCTTTTGATCTATTTTTGGATATTTATAATTTTTCAAGGCTTTCTCTTTATCTTTCCATTTTCATATTAATAATGCATATTAGATTACACAATTATTCTAATACAGAGGAAAGAGATAAAGATGAGAAAGATAAGTATAGAAAAAGTTAATGAAAGTATGCACACGAATTGGGACATTATTTATTACCATTTTAGTCTGCTCTCTTAGTACAAGAATCGTATATATTATTCTTAATTTCAGTACCAATCATAATATCATAAATAAAATTGAAATAGGCAGATCTTAAAAATAAATTTTATATAATCGTTTATTTTGCACTTCAAGATTACGATTTTCTCCATCAAATTTTACTTTTTTTGAAATACTTTATTTTTTATTGATTTTATGTCAATAAATGTTATATATTATATATTCTACAATATGTGAAGAAAAATAATAATGGTAATGTTTAGGGAACGTTTTATTAAATTTCAACCAAATGTTTGCAAATGTATAAACAATTTTTCTTCACATACATGGATATTCTAATCAATCGATAACTAACTTACCAGGAAACAATAGGATATTTGGAGTGAATCGTATCAGTATCGACTACTTGTTAATCGAACAACTAACGTGACACCTAATGTGACTATTCTACTTGCATATATGTTAATTTTTGTGATAAATGTATAAATTCAATATAAGTTGATACAATACAGACGTAATAAAAATTTAATTGAATTAAAAATTCAGAATATATTCAAATCAAACAGATACAATGTGATTCACATATGTATGCAGGCTCATTCTTGTGTACAGAGTATCAGGCAGTTGAACATAAAAATAATAAGACTATGATTATTAGTGAAATCTACGTAAATACTTCAAGTAACTGAATATAAGTAATGAATTATAAATAAGTATTAAGTGAATCTTAAAGCTTTTGTAAACTAAACTTTTCTGCGTAATCTACTTCTCTTTGCGCATATCATAAGTGAGGTAAAAGTATAACAAAAGAATAATATTTTTTAATAAATTTTTGTATATAATTGAATCAGAAAATAATCCATTATAATCTAAATCTACGATTATAATTAAAGTAACGATTATTGTGATTTCATTTCACATACAAGAAAGTATATACGCATTGCATTCCATGCTACCTGTTTTTCGTCTGTGAATATGTGTACACGATGACTGAGAAGATTAATTTTGTAAATCCGTAGAAACCACAGTAAAACACATAAAAGCTATTTATTATAATTTACATCGAACGAAAAATATTTCACATGAATGCGACTATAAAAAAAAGAATTTTGTTTTTATTGTGTTCGCTCGTGATCTTGTAAACCGACGACGAAATAAAGCCGAAGTGATGTGGTAGGAGTAATTTATTTGAAAAAAGTATAAATTCACAGTTACGTGAATACTTTTTGAAATTTTTTGTGAGTAAAGGCATTGCCTATAATGAAAATTGGTGCTTGTGATAAAAATGTATATATGTATGCAAGTTTTTCAGGATTCTTATTATCCCGTGCAGACGTATCCACGCTTCTTTAAACCTCCGCGACGATTCAACACATAAATTCCTGAAGAGGAATAAATAATGAACGTTAAATAGAGAGTGAGAGTACAGTAAGAGAAGAGAAACACATTAAATTTCGCAATTCGTGATATGTGTATATACATTGCCTATGCGTTCTACCGAATGCTTTCACGCCCGTTAAACATCTCATGCATTTTGTAGAATTAACGGCAATCTAGCTTATGGAAAATATATTTTGCTTTTTATTTCCTCTAATCTGGATTAATTTATTCTTATATATTCATTTTGTCTCTATCGATATAATATATTAAATTGTAGTAAAATAAACATGAGAACGTATTAGGAACATGTTGTCGTTCTTGTTAAGTGATAGATTAATTGTAGATAAAGACAAGAAATGTCTCATAAAAGAGTACATAAATGTAAATGAACATAATATAATTGTATTTAAGTATATGCAAAGAGAAATTAGTTCACCTAGAATTTAATTGTAATGTAAAGTATGCCTTGGTATATACCGTAAAAACAATTTATATATATATATATATATATATATATAAACAGTGTATTAAAATTATTTTATTTCTTTAGAATAAGTAAACGATGATAATAAGATATTCTACTAAATTTTTATAATTTCTTATTATTTTCAGTAAAATTAGTTATACAAAAATTAAAAGAAAGTCTGCACTTTAAGAGTACATTTCAGTTTTTAAATGCAAGAGTAAATTACTGAATTCAAAACTAATTACGATTTTTTCAAAATTGAAGTATTTAATTTCCTAAGTTTTAATTTATGAATTAATTTATGTTTTGTATTTTTAAATTAAATTATATAAATATATGAAAAATTTTCAAAAGGCTCATACATATTATAATAATTTTTATTATAGCAAAGTTTTAATTATACCAATTTTATAAAAGTATTTATATTTATTGTATTTACTTTAAGTAAAATAAAATAAAAAACTTAATTCTAGGAATTAGATTGATACATTTAATCAGACTCTTAGAAATCACTTAAATAACTTTTTACAAATAAGTTTTAACAATTTAAAAGAAATGAATTACCAAATAATGGAATTATAATTATAACTTATCGTGATAATGTTATTTATTATAGTATTCTAATTTTTTTCTTCAAATGCTACTATATTTAATATTTAATATCAAATATTTAATAGCGTTTCATTGTTAAGATATAATATTTTAAGCGAAGGCTAATGTGTTGCAAACCAAATTATATGTCGAAATTAAATTTCATAATTTCAAAGAAAAAATTAAAATTAGTCCTTTCTAAGTGTATCTTAGTTTTTGAAATATTTTTCAATATTATATAACACCTTGTTTGTTCATTATAATAGTTTCAAAGTTAATACAATGTCTCGAATTAAGTTTACATATTTCTATAAAAATTATTTAAATTTAAATTTTAATACCTTGAAAAATATCGTTTTTAGTATTAAATTCAGTTATTAGGCCTATCAAATGAAATAATAGTAAATAATCCACATTCAATGCACGATATTTCTATTTAGTAGAATGTATAACAAGTTCCAAACCCATATTAGATTCAAGCTTTGGGAAAAAGTATATAACAAAGTTTATTAATTAAAAGTAACCATGTATTTAATGAATTTTTAGAACTTGTACACGTTAGTAACAAATGCTGTTTACAAAACAAGAAATATTTTTGTTAATAAACGCTGACGTGATTACAACAATATATATTTATGTGCGTGTGTATACATGTACACATGCACATATACACATACATCAATTAATGTTTTTAATGTTTGGATGTAC